CTGGCTTGCACAGGTTGAAGCGAGATGCAGCTAGATGCCAAGCGCAATTAAATGTGCATGCATGTCGATTGTGTTTGTGTGTGTCTGTGTGTGTGTTGGCAGTGCTGCGAAAAGTTTCAAAACTATGTAAGGGAAATGTTAAAATTGTTGAATACAAAAGCATTAGCAAGAATTAATTAAAACTTTTTCAAGGCGAAATTATAGTTATTCATTTAATCTGACAAGTTAAGATATTTGGACGACGAAGTTTTTACCTATGTAAGGCCAAATGTTAAATATAAACTGTTAGAAATTTTATTTAGTAATATTTTAATTAATTGTTAAAATATAACAACTTCTAAATGCGTCTGTCTTTCGCACTGCATATCATAAGGTCGTTCCGTCTGTCAATGAGTTTCTATTAAAATGTTTGTGTATAATTATGAAGCCAAGCTATTGTATACATGTATACGTACACACACATACTTGCAGCCATATTACTATACACACACACACACATCGGCACTTGTTTTTCAGCGTCTGCGCGCATTTCTTAGAAAACGTGAGACATCCGGCAATTGCGACGCTTTCCAAAATATTTACATTTGTTATACACAAAAGAAGCTCAACAAGGGCAATTGAAGTAAATAAATAAATGCAAGAGCTCAATTTTATTTACATTGAGTCTTATTATTTTTGCAAATGCACTAAGATGCGCTTACCCCTCGCAGAATTCGCGTGCTCTCATCTGTGCTTATTTCGTTTTTTAACTAAAGCTCCATCAAATGTTAACACTGCACTGATTTTAATTTGAGAACGAATATGCTTTTTACATATCTCCAATTGCTCAATTCTTCAGGTTGGTTTGCTCTCGCCGGCTTTCAAACGGAAAAGGAATTTCGCTGAGTTGCCGGATGTCAGAATTGACATCGACTTCAGAGTTGTATTCCGCTCTATCGAATTTTCAAGCAATGTAACAATTAATCGATGGACTTGGAATGTCGTAACGTGTGTGCGACACACATGGCATGTGATGTTTGATTAAATGGGAAAATAATCATTAGAAATTTAATATTTGTTGATGACAATTTTAGCATAAGTTTTATTATTATGGAAAAAGTCTGTAGAATTTATACATAGTGAAGATTTTTTTAAGTTATGCATAAATTTAAACATATATGTATGTTTTTATAGATTTTAAAAAATTCGAATTTTTTAATTTTCTATTTGTCCTCTTAAACAGGAAAATATTTGTAAAAAAGTGTCCTATAGTTTTCTTGTTTACAAAGTATGGAACAAGCTTCTACAAAATTGTTTAAACATTTTTCTTTCTAATATTAATATTGCTTAAATTAAGATCTAAATTAACTTCATAAATATGATCATTTAGATTTGATTAGTTTTAACTCAACATTTAATAATCATCATACTTAATTTAAGCACAATTTAGTTTGAATGTACTCTGTTCCTTTGGGATTCAAATATCGGTTACTTATACAAGGAATTTGGTTATGCTTTAATATAAATTTTTCTCATCACATTGGTACTTATCACATTGGTACTTATAAAAAGATATGCACATACACACATTGAAGTACTATATCATATAGTTTGAAAATTCGTATCTTACCTACATATATACATATCTAGCATTGGAATCGAGCTTGGGTTCTGTTTTTAGTAGAGAGCTTCTTTGTCGTAAAATGTATCCCAGACGGCCAGCGTTGTGGCCTCGGGCAGAGCCATCATCTCCATTTCGTCGCTAATGTTGTAGCAATTGTGAGCGCCGTCTGGTGTCTGCTGCACTGGCGTCCACTTGGCCGATGCTGTGGCCCGGCAGTTGGGATCGCTGCTGGCCGCAAAGGCCGTCCACATGCCGACCATGCGCTTTATGGTGCGATACTCTTGGGAGGATTTGTTCAGTTTGGTGGCCAGGACATTGTAAAAGAGATAGGACAACTCATCTGCGTGGGAGACACCGCGCACGCGTTCGCCACAGACGAGCCAGCGGAATTGATTGAAGTGCGGCGAATCGAAGTCGAAGCGATATAGGTAGGTGGGCGTGGCGGGCGCATAGGTTAGCCGGGCCATGACCATGCGATGCAGATCATGCCAGATTTGCCGATGTGAGAATATATAGAGAACCTCGAAGAGCTCCATGCGCTCGCGCTGCTCGTCCCCAAAGTAGACCTGCTTCAGGCGGCGCACCAGCTGCTCCAGTTGCTCCGGTGTGCTCGACTCGCGCACCTCGCGTGGTATTATATTATCAAAATGGGTCATCACCCAGGGATCGTTACGGACGAGCTGATACGAGAAGAGGCCCTCAAACGAGTTGCCGCCAACGATGAGCGGTATGCTATTGCCCCAGGCACTGGCCAGCATCTCCTTGTGCGGCTTGGGCACCACACAGTGTGCACTCTCATAGGGTTCAACAACGGGTCCGAATGCAAACAGATAAAAGCTGCGCAGCTCATCTTGCGTAACAATCTCCTGATCACTCGAGGCGATTTGACGTGCAGATGCCTTGCTCAGATACCGCAGCACATCCGCCTCCGTCTCGCTGCCCTTGTAGCCGCCCATGTGCCGGGCGAGGCGATAGGCCCAGTTGCGATCCGGCGTATCCGCCCAGGCGGACAGCGCACAGCCCGACTGTAGTATGGCCTTGTGGAACAGTCCGCGCGACTGCTCTGTGGTCATCATAATGTGCGTGGATGCGGCGCCCGCGCTCTCGCCCATAAGCGTTATGTTATTGGGATCGCCATTGAAGCGGGCAATGTTCTGACTGATCCAGCGCAGCGCCAGCACCTGATCCTTCAGCCCCGCGTTGCCCGGCACATTCAGCTTGGGATCCTTGAGACTCAGGAAACCTGCAAGGTAAACAGAACATGGTTAGGCTGCGCGTGCGCTGCATCTGCTTGCCACATACCCAGCGCGCCGAGCCTATAGCTGATGGTAACAAAGACCACCGGCTGCTTCATAAAGTAATCCGGACTGTAGATATCTCTTGAGGCTTCACCTTTCTGGAAGCCACCGCCATAGATCCACACCATGACGGGCAGCGGCGTCTCCGATTGCATCCGCTTAACATACACATTGAGATATAGGCAATCCTCGGAGCCCTCAATCATGCCCAGCACCATGTTACGCTGCAGCGGCTTCTCGCCGTATGTGGTGCAGTTGCGTACATTCTCCCACGGCTCTGGCGGTTGCGGTTCACGGAAGCGCAGCTCACCCAACGGCGGCTTGGCATAGGGTATGCCCTCAAAGGCATAATACGGCTCCTCATCGTAGATGGTCTTGCGCTGTAGGCCGCGCACTCTACCAAATTTGGTTGTCGCGATGACTGTGTGGCTGGTGGAAAGACGGTATTGCTGCACCTTGTGGCCGACAAGTCTGTGGGTGGCAGAGCGTGAAAGACGATGTAGTTAACGGATACAGATGTACATATATGAAAAGATAACAGAGTCGGCTGTGGTCCAGGTCCAATGTTCAAGATCAATGTCACGGACAATGCGCCAGTCATGGTGACATTGAAAAACGAGAGACCAGTTGTTCCCAATGTTCACCGCTACGCGGATACCCTGTATGCCCCGTATCTCTACTCACTTGGCGCCCATTTGCAGCAGTTTTGGAATACCAACGTGCACCTCCATGATAATTGCCCTTTAATGTATGTATGTATGTATATGTGCGTATCTATGTATGCATGCACATAAGTACACGTGTAATATTAGGTTTGTTCGAACAGTTTATTTTTTTTATTTCGAAAACAACTGTTTGTTTGCTCTGCTTGCTCCAATCCTGTTGACCGTCGCAATGCAATTAACAGAATTTTGTTACGTTGCCGGCAAATTTAATCAGTCCCGGCGATGTACATATGTGTGCAAATTGCACACATGCCTATATTTATGTACGGCATGTATAAACATATATATATATGTGCGTACAAGGTGCTCTGAACGTCTGGTCAAAACTTATCTCTCTCTCGCTCTCAATAGAAATTTGTGCCATCGGCGTAATAAAAATAGATTGCGGTAACACGGCATTAACATTGGTGCCTTATCTTTACATTAACAGTACGCGTCACTCTTAACAGCTGTTAGTGTATATGTAGTGTCAAGTGTGCTTTGTTTTGTTTTGAACATTATGCTGGAATGACACGTGAAAGTTTATATGTAAACCTAAATGCAATTGTAAGAGATTAAAATAAAGCCGTTTTACATTTATTGTTTATTTATTAGCTGTGTTTATATAAATGAATTAACTATTACATAAAAGATAAATAAGTTAAGCATATATACCACGACTTAAATTATTTTCAATCTCGTTTTAAATGCATTTTTTCTATTAAGTTTTCTAGACATAAAGCAGCAAGCCGTTTACGTAAGCTGTTCTAATATGCAAGCACATTGACATGTGATATAATTTTTGCACTTAACGATATTCTACGTGAAAAGGTTTTACATTTACAAACACCTCGCCAAAAATGTCTATAATATATGTGTACTGCATTTTAGTAATCTAAATTTACACATAAAACATGCTAATAATAAATTCAGTTTATCTGAGCAAAACAAAGCCTAGACGCTAGGGCTTAACAAAATAAATATAATAATAATAATAATAGAGTGATTAAGCAGTATTTTATTTGTTGTTTTAACTTATCATTGCGCCTATCTTTCAGTGTAGCCCCCACATTCAAGTGCACTTGAATCAGCGATTCGGTTTGCCAGGGCTGCAGCAGCACATAAAATGTAACTGCGTAAATGCTTTCAGTTCAATATTAAAAAATCAATCACATTATATGTAAAATATTCTCATTAAAAGTTATAGTTTACTATGGGTATAAGAATAAATATAATATTTGCATACGTAATTCTGATCACAGCTTTGAGATCATGCTAATGTGAGTTGGTGCAGCCCTGGATAAAATAAATAAAGAAACATTCGCAGTCGCATTCAGCGCCGACTTCGTCACCGGCAGCGGTAAAGCGTCGCATGCATTGCTGATAGAAAGCAGCCACAACCGTTACGATGTCAGCAGACGTAGCATATATAAAATTTAGCCCTTGCCGAAAACAAAGCAGCTAACACAAAATCACCCTGTCACTGATAGTTCAAATTTGATATTTTATTTTTTGGCTTTGCACTTGTTGTTCAGCTTATATTTGTGTGGTGTCTTGTGCGTTAGCGATAAAAACAACCGCTATAAATGTTTTTACCTAGATAAACAAAAAAAAAAAGCGCCAATAATAACTCGAGGATAAAAACCGCTCAGACCACAGCTGAACATGGCGAGGTGAGTAACTGCATCGATTGGTTGTCGAATATATTACGATCGTATCATAATTTGATTATATCATTTTGCAGCGCTGCCGACGCCGTTGTGCAGACGAAAAGTGGGCCGGTTGTGGGCAAATATTGTACGAGCATCTACAGCGATGATTACGTCAGCTTCGAGCGCATACCGTACGCGTTGCCGCCCCTGGGCGCGCTGCGCTTCAAGGCGCCACTGCCTGTAAAGCCGTGGAAACAGGCGGTGATCTGCCGGCAGAAGGGCGAGAAGCCGCTGCAGTTCAATCAGTACACCCAGCAGCTGGAGGGCGTCGAGAATTGCCTGTATCTGAATGTGTATGCCAAGTCGGTGAGTCACGATTGAAGTTAAAGTTCAAACAATTAATTGGTAAACTGCGCCGCCTCGCTACAGCTGCACACGAAGACGCCGTTGCCGCTGATTGTTTTCTTCTTTGGCGGTGGCTTTGAAAAGGGCGATTCCACCAGAGACTTGCACAGTCCCGACTATTTTATGATGCGCGATGTGGTTGTGGCCACCGTTTCGTATCGTGTGGGCCCACTGGGCTTTCTCAGCCTGAAGGATCCGGCGGCGGGTGTGCCCGGCAATGCTGGCTTAAAGGATCAACTGATGGCTTTAAAATGGATCATAAAGAATGCATCCAGCTTTAATGCGGATCCAACGAATGTAACTGCATTTGGTGAAAGCGCTGGCGCCGCCTCAGTGCATTATCTTATGGTGAATCCGCATGCCGAAGGCCTCTTTCAGAAAGCCATCATGCAGTCTGGAAATGCTTTGTGCTCATGGGCGCAGTGTGCGGTGCCCAATTTGACGCGGCGACTCGCTGAAAATCTGGGCATGCAGAAAATTGAGCTGGCCTCGGATCTCAAGGTTTTGGAGTTTCTACAGAGCGTGCCCGGCGATCAGCTTGTGAGGCCTTATCTGCTCAGCGAAGCGGAAAACTTGGATGACAGTGTCTTTCAGTTTGGTCCCGTCGTGGAGCCATATGTCACCGAGGGCTGTGCGATATCCAAGAAGCCCATTGAGCTGCTCGCTAATGCATGGGGCAATAATATTCCGCTCTTGATGAGTGGCACCTCCTTTGAGGGTCTGCTAATGTATGGACGTGTGCATATGTCGCCCTATTTGCTCACCAGCCTCAAGAGCCAGCCGGAGCATCTGCTGCCGCTGGAATTGAAACGCACGTTGCCGCAGGCCTTGGCCCGTACGCTGGGCAAGCGTATACAATTTATGCACTTCCGGGATAAGCCATTGGAGCTGAAGCCCGACAGCGTGGCGGCCTATTGTGAGGTTGGTGTATACTGTTCCTTTATATTGAATTGTATATATATAAATTAATATTCATTTTCCATTCTTGCAGTACGCCAGCTATAAGGTCTTCTGGCATCCCATATTGCGCACCATCAAGGCACGCCTAGAATGCTCCAAAGAGCCCACCTATCTATATCGCTTCGATTTTGATTCATCCACGTTCAATCATCAACGTTTGAAATATTGCGGCGATAAGCTGCGTGGCGTTGCCCATGTGGATGATCATTCGTATATTTGGTATGGCGATTTCTCCTGGAAGCTGGACAAGCACACGGCCGAGTTTCAGACCATTGAGCGCATGATTGACATATTGACCACATTTGCTAGCACTTCAGATCCAAATTGCAGGACTGTTGAATCCAACTTGGCCAAGGGCACAGTTTGGGCGCCACTAAGTAAAAAGAATATGAAGTGCCTAAACATTTCGGAGGACGTGAGGGTGATCGAATTGCCCGAGCTGACCAAGTTGCGGGTTTGGGATAGTGTCTATAAGGCGCGAGTGAGATAACTCTGCCTAAATATAAACGAAATTCTAAAATGACAAAGCCATTAAATTAACAGTATATACAAGTGGTTTTTATAGCTCTAGTTTAGTCTATTAGCTTAGCCAATGTTAAAGTGGCGTTAACAGTGAGCTGTTAATGTGCTCTTATAAATGGAAATTGTGTTAACATAAGCAGATATTAGTCTTATTAAACCAAATTACGGACTGGGAAAACTTGGATTATAAAAAAAAAAATGCAATTCATATTGTCAGTATGTTGGAGCTTAAGCAATAATTATGAGCGTTATATAGGTCTATAAACTGTTATTTGTCTTATCTTTTTGTAATGTGTGTTATTTTGGCTCATAGTGATGGTACTCTTAAGAAATATCAAAAGATAAACTTATCTTAAACTTATATTTTACTATAATAAAATGTTAGATTATCTAAATTCCCCACAACAATCGCCTTACCAATGCCAAAATTGGCAATCAAGTTCTCACCACAACGCTAGACATTAGTTCTCACCACAACGATCTACTAACCACAGCAAAAAAGTAGCTGAATTAGCATTCTAGCCACTAACTAGCTACAGAGTTGCCAGATGAGATGCCAAAAAAAAGCCAAATCTATTGAAAATTAACTTATTCCGGTTAACGAACTCTGCAATTAGCCACATGTAGCTAGAAGATAACCAAATTGGCAACACTGGCTCGCAGCTTGGAATTTCCCCACATTAGATAATTTCGGCAATGCGTATGCGTCTATAAAAGTGGAGGGTTTTTTTGATTTTCAGTTAATTTGGGCCAAACCTGAAATGGCAACGGACTAGTAGGTAGCTGACGGATAAAAGACCAACTCCAAGACTAACCGAGTGGAATCATTTGCAGCTCGGATACTTCGCCTGTGGTGCCTACCACGCATGGTGAGGTGCGTGGCGCGCTGCTCACCAGTCTCTATGATGAGCTCTACTATAGTTTCGATGGCATACCCTACGCCCAGCCGCCATTGGGTGAGCTGCGCTTTAGAGCTCCGCAGGATGCGCACACTTGGCTGGGCATACGCGACTGTACCGAGCCGAAGGACAAGTGCCTGCAAGTGGCCAGCTTAACAAAGCAGGTTGAGGGTAGCGAGGACTGCCTGTACCTGAATATAGCCGTGAAAAGCGTGAGTTTTTAACCAATTGCACGGATTCAGCTGTATTACGATATAATTTAATATAGCTTAGGAGTGAAAAGCCGTTGCCTGTGATGGTTTATGTGCATGGCGGTGCCTTTAAGAGTGGGGATCCGACAAGGCGCTTCTTTTCACCTGACTATTTCATGCGCGAGCAGGTGATCTACATCAGCATTGGCTATCGACTGGGTCCATTTGGTGGGTATCCGCAAAGAAATCTAGGGCTAAAGCTAATGCTATGTGAACGTGCGCAGGTTTTCTGAGCTTTTCGGATCCGTCGCTGGGCATACCCGGTAATGCGGGCATCAAGGATATTGTGCTGGCCCTCAAGTGGATAAGGGCGAACGTGGGCAGCTTCAATGGCGATGCGAATAACATAACGCTATTCGGGCACAGTTCGGGCAGCTGTTTGGTGCACCTGCTGATGGTGAGCCCGCTGGCGGAGGGACTCTTCGACAAGGTGATACTTTTGTCTGGTTTCCATCCGGATACATGCAATCGGCCCAATATGGAATACGAGCTGGCCAAGCATTTGGGCTACGAGGGCGCCAACAAGGATGTTGAAGTATGGCACTATCTAAATGCTGCAGATCCCAAACTGTTGGCCAAGTCGGACTTTCGACAGTTATACGAACGCCTGCAAAGCTCCGGGTTACCCCTTTTTATGCCGCGAGTGGAGCCGTATGCCACGCACGGTGCTGTGCTGCTGGACGAGCCGCGGATACTGCAGCGCAGCGCTTGGAGCAATCGCCTGCCGATCATCATTGGCAGCACCAGCAACGAGGACTTGTTTAGTAGCACATGTGATATGACAAAGGATGCCGAAGTGCTGAAAGCTTGCCAGGAGCGTCCGGAGTTCATGCTGCCGTATTCCATGCTCCGGCACTGTGAGCCCAGCACGTGTCGCCACCTGGGACAGACGCTGGTGAAGAAGTTTTGTGGCGTGCACAGTTCGGATCTGACAGTATCGCATGCTTCAGGCATATCTGAGATCTTCGCGCACAACGTGTTGCACTACCAGCAGCGGCTGATTAGCGCTCGGCTGGCCTATAGCCAGGCCGAGAATTACCTGTATCGCTTCGACTTTGATTCACCTGATTTCAATCTCTATCGCATACGCTATTGGGGACCCGAAAGGCGTGGCCTTCATCATGCCGATGAATTGTGCTATATTTTTAAGTTGCCCCACACCTTCAAGCTGGACAAATCAAGAGCGGAATACACGACCATTTGCCGCATGATTGCCATGTTTACGGAATTCGCCCGCAGATCCAATCCGAATGCGCCGCTCATCCAATCATTGGTCGACTGGCAGCCTGTCACACAGAATGAACCCACAATGTGTCTGAATATTAATGAGCAACTCAAGTTCATTCCACAGCCGGAGCGTTTGAAGTTAAAGTTCTACGACGAATTGTACAGAAATGCTAAAATGGAACTCATTTAGCGTTGAATCTGTGAGTTCTGATAAGTTACGATAAGAAACCAGCTTGTGTACTTATAGATAATGTATAATAAAAATAAAAATATAATAATAAGTAAACATACATACATGTTATGTCAAATTCCATTTGTTAACATTATGTGTGCATTTTAACATTAAACTGTTAATTACTTGTTAATGCATATGCAAAATTACATGAAGCTGTTCAAAATGATAGATTCAAAACTTTATCTTATCCATTTGTTCACCACTGTAAATAGCATAGCACTGTTAAACTAACATTTAATACAGCAGACAATTGCATTTAAACTGTTAACATGCCGGATCTTATGCTTTGTCCACTACTGTATATCGAATAATATAAGTTATTCGCCAAGTTTCACTAGATCCATGTAAGAGTATTTAGAGTTCTGCCTGGCTGTTTTCCCCCCATATTTTTAACACAAAACAAAAACCTGCTTAATTAATGATAATGAGCCCAACAAATGCACGATAAATCGGTTTCACAAGCCACTACGGTTGGTGTACATGTTTTTATTGCCACCTGTGTACACTCTTTAGCTCTGCGACGTTCTTTTGATTTACTCGGTTTTCAGTTGACAAGCGGCACGCGAGCAGAGCAGACGACCGAGAGATTGTTTAGCATAATGTCAGAGAGGTGTCTACAAGTCATAAAACATAATTAAATACTAATTTTTATTATCATACACATAATAAACAAATATTATAATCGTTATTTTAGCCTGGAGACTTTTGAAATTTCACTGCCCGTGGGCCAGATAAAGGGCGTCAAACGTCGCACTCTCTACGATGACGATTACTTCAGCTTCGAGCGTTTGCCCTTTGCCCAACCGCCGCTGGGCGAGCTGCGCTTCAAGGCGCCGCAGCCGGCAGAGCCCTGGTCCGGCGTGCTGGACTGCACCCACTATGCCGAGAAGCCCGTGCAGAAGGACATTTTCAGTGGTGTCATCGAGGGCAGCGAGGATTGTCTCTATCTGAATGTGTACGCCAAGCAGGTGACTATCTAAAAATCAAATATAACCTGTGATGGATAGCCATAATTGCCCATGTTCCACTGATAACAGCTTAAGACGGCAAAACCCCTGCCTGTTATGGTTTATATTTATGGCGGTGCATTCTCCATGGGCGAGGCCACCCGGGAGCTATATGGGCCGGATTATTTTATGGCTAAAGATGTCGTTCTAGTTACGCTCAACTATCGCGTTGATTGTCTGGGTAAGAATTAAATATCTTATCGTTTGACAATCTCTAAATTTGGATTGTTTTGTTATTGAACAAGTTTCTGTTATCGCTGATAGCTTCCAAAGGGTATAAAGTTCGAGCTTTAGTTAAGATATTTTTGCTTAGATTTGAAAGTTCACCCAATTTACACCTTTTATTGAGTGTAAACAGAAAGTAAAATGAAAATTGATTCCAAGTTTTTTGTAGGTTTTCTTTTATGAGAAAAAACTGCTTTGCTACCTTCTGTACTCGTTTTTTAGCCTTTTCCAGCTTTTTTCAAGCTAACCCAATATATGCTCTCTTCCTTGTTCTCATTCTCACAGGTTTCCTCAGTCTGAAAGACCCCAGCTTGGAGGTGCCTGGCAATGCTGGTCTTAAGGATCAGGTTCTAGCTCTCAAATGGGTCAAGCAATATATTTCCCATTTCAATGGCGATGCTAACAACATAACGGTATTTGGCGAGAGCGCCGGCGGCTGCTCCACCCACTATATGATGTGCACAGAGCAGACGCGTGGACTCTTCCACAAGGCCATACCCATGTCGGGCACCCTGCACAGTAGGCCAAATACGCCGCCCGCAGATTTCGCCTATCGGCTGGCCAAGGCGCACGGCTATGAGGGCGAGAACATTGATCGTCTGGTGTTGGAGCATTTGCGCGGCGTGCCGGCACATCAGCTGGTTAACCACAGCCTGCTCACCGCCGAGGATCGACGCAATGGCCGCAATCATGCTTTTGGGCCCACCGTCGAGCCTTATATCATGCCGGACTGCGTGGCGCCCAAGCGGCAGCTGGAAATGGCGCGCGAGGCGTGGGGCAATGAGCTGCCCGCCATGCTGGGCGGTGTCTCCTTCGAGGGCCTGTTCATGTATTCAGCTCTGAAGGCCAATCTCAAGGACTTGGATAGCTTGCCGCAGGATCCGTTGCGCATCGTGCCCCACGAAGTGCTTGTGCTCAATACGGAAGAGCAGAATCTGGAGTTCAGCAAGAAGCTGATCAAATTGTACTTTGGTGATGCTACACCCAGCTCCGAGCTCATCATGAATTTTATGGATGTGAGTTTGAAACACTTTCTTGAATGTATGTTAAAGACAGCAAGAGGCAACTCCGACCCCCCGACTAGAGCACTCCTTATCTCACATTCTGTACAATTATTTTTGCCTCTTTCAGTACTATTCCTATAAGACCTTTTGGCATGGCTTTCATCGCACTTTGCAAGCCCGCCTGGCCTATGCCAAGGCGCCCACCTATTACTATCGCTTCGACTTTGATTCGCCCGATTTCAATTTCTATCGCAAGATGTTCTGTGGCGATGACATTAAGAAGGGCGTTGCCCATGCGGATGAGCTGAGCTATTTGTTCCGCTGCTCGCAGTCCTGGAAGCTAGACAAAGCATCGGGCGAATATCGCACCATACAGCGCCTGGTGGACATCTGGACATCCTTTGCGGCCACCTCCAATCCCAACTGCGCGGGAACCGCGCATCTAAACTGGCAGCCCGCACAGCAGGAGCAGCCACAGCGTGTGCTTAACATTGGCAATGAGGTGGAGATCATCGTTCAGCCCGAGCACGAGAAGCTGCTCGTCTGGGATAGCCTATATAAAAAAGAGGATTTGTTTTAGGCCTGCTCCAGGTTGAAAGGCTACCTCCAACCTCCTACTCTTGCGCTGAGTGAGTTGTAGCCACATGTAAATAAACCGTATAATAGCATATGAGAGTTGTTTGAAATTATTCACCTCTTTTTGGTACACCTGTATACGATAGGGTTTATTTCAAATTTTGAAAATTTCAGAAATATTTACTCAGAAGTACACAATATTTGTATAAAGGCCCCTCTAATATAGTATATTATAAATTTCAATTAGCACTCTCGACTATAAAAAGCTTTTTAAGAAAATAAAAGAATTCAAATGAGTCTCAAATTTAATAAAATGCAGTTCATTTTGTCAGTATGTTGCAGCTTAAGCAATAATTATGAGCGTTATATAGGTCTATAAACTGTTATTTATCTTATCTTTTTGTGATGTGTATTATTTTGGCTTATAGTGCTGGTACTCTTAAGAAATATCAAAAGATAAACTTATCTTAAACTTATATTTTACTATAATAAAATGTTAGATTATCTAAATTCCCCACAACAATCGCCTTACCAATGCCAAAATTGGCAATCAAGTTCTCACCACAACGCTAGACATTAGTTCTCACCACAACGATCTACTAACCACAGCAAAAAAGTAGCTGAATTAGCATTCTAGCCACTAACTAGCTACAGAGTTGCCAGATGAGATGCCAAAAAAAGCCAAATCTATTGAAAATTAACTTATTCCGGTTAACGAACTCTGCAATTAGCCACATGTAGCTAGAAGATAACCAAATTGGCAACACTGGCTCGCAGCTTGGAATTTCCCCACATTAGATAATTTCGGCAATGCGTATGCGTCTATAAAAGTGGAGGGTTTTTTGGATTTTCAGTTAATTTGGGCCAAACCTGAAATGGCAACGGACTAGTAGGTAGCTGACGGATAAAAGACCAACTCCAAGACTAACCGAGTGGAATCATTTGCAGCTCGGATACTTCGCCTGTGGTGCCTACCACGCATGGTGAGGTGCGTGGCGCGCTGCTCACCAGTCTCTATGATGAGCTCTACTATAGTTTCGATGGCATACCCTACGCCCAGCCGCCATTGGGTGAGCTGCGCTTTAGAGCTCCGCAGGATGCGCACACTTGGCTGGGCATACGCGACTGTACCGAGCCGAAGGACAAGTGCCTGCAAGTGGCCAGCTTAACAAAGCAGGTTGAAGGTAGCGAGGACTGCCTGTACCTGAATATAGCCGTGAAAAGCGTGAGTTTTTAACCAATTGCACGGATTCAGCTGTATTACGATATAATTTAATATAGCTTAGGAGTGAAAAGCCGTTGCCTGTGATGGTTTATGTGCATGGCGGTGCCTTTAAGAGTGGGGATCCGACAAGGCGCTTCTTTTCACCTGACTATTTCATGCGCGAGCAGGTGATCTACATCAGCATTGGCTATCGACTGGGTCCATTTGGTGGGTATCCGCAAAGAAATCTAGGGCTAAAGCTAATGCTATGTGAACGTGCGCAGGTTTTCTGAGCTTTTCGGATCCGTCGCTGGGCATACCCGGTAATGCGGGCATCAAGGATATTGTGCTGGCCCTCAAGTGGATAAGGGCGAACGTGGGCAGCTTCAATGGCGATGCGAATAACATAACGCTATTCGGGCACAGTTCGGGCAGCTGTTTGGTGCACCTGCTGATGGTGAGCCCGCTGGCGGAGGGACTCTTCGACAAGGTGATACTTTTGTCTGGTTTCCATCCGGATACATGCAATCGGCCCAATATGGAATACGAGCTGGCCAAGCATTTGGGCTACGAGGGCGCCAACAAGGATGTTGAAGTATGGCACCATCTAAATGCTGCAGATCCCAAACTGTTGGCCAAGTCGGACTTTCGACAGTTATACGAACGCCTGCAAAGCTCCGGGTTACCCCTTTTTATGCCGCGAGTGGAGCCGTATGCCACGCACGGTGCTGTGCTGCTGGTCGAGCCGAGGATACTGCAGCGCAGCGCTTGGAGCAATCGCCTGCCGATCATCATTGGCAGCACCAGCAACGAGGACTTGTTTAGTAGCACATGTGATATGACAAAGGATGCCGAAGTGCTGAAAGCTTGCCAGGAGCGTCCGGAGTTCATGCTGCCGTATTCCATGCTCCGGCACTGTGAGCCCAGCACGTGTCGCCACCTGGGACAGACGCTGGTGAAGAAGTTTTGTGGCGTGCACAGTTCGGATCTGACAGTATCGCATGCTTCAGGCATATCTGAGATCTTCGCGCACAACGTGTTGCACTACCAGCAGCGGCTGATTAGCGCTCGGCTGGCCTATAGCCAGGCCGAGAATTACCTGTATCGCTTCGACTTTGATTCACCTGATTTCAATCTCTATCGCATACGCTATTGGGGACCCGAAAGGCGTGGCCTTCATCATGCCGATGAATTGTGCTATATTTTTAAGTTGCCCCACACCTTCAAGCTGGACAAATCAAGAGCGGAATACACGACCATTTGCCGCATGATTGCCATGTTTACGGAATTCGCCCGCAGATCCAATCCGAATGCGCCGCTCATCCAATCATTGGTCGACTGGCAGCCTGTCACACAGAATGAACCCACAATGTGTCTGAATATTAATGAGCAACTCAAGTTCATTCCACAGCCGGAGCGTTTGAAGTTAAAGTTCTACGACGAATTGTACAGAAATGCTAAAATGGAACTCATTTAGCGTTGAATCTGTGAGTTCTGATAAGTTACGATAAGAAACCAGCTTGTGTACTTATAGATAATGTATAATAAAAATAAAAATATAATAATAAGTAAACATACATACATGTTATGTCAAATTCCATTTGTTAACATTATGTGTGCATTTTAACATTAAACTGTTAATTACTTGTTAATGCATATGCAAAATTACATGAAGCTGTTCAAAATGATAGATTCAAAACTTTATCTTATCCATTTGTTCACCACTGTAAATAGCATAGCACTGTTAAACTAACATTTAATACAGCAGACAATTGCATTTAAACTGTTAACATGCCGGATCTTATGCTTTGTCCACTACTGTATATCGAATAATATAAGTTATTCGCCAAGTTTCACTAGATCCATGTAAGAGTATTTAGAGTTCTGCCTGGCTGTTTTTCCCCCATATTTTTAACACAAAAAAAAAACCTGCTTAATTAATGATAATGAGCCCAACAAATGCACGATAAATCGGTTTCACAAGCCACTACGGTTGGTGTACATGTTTTTATTGCCACCTGTGTACACTCTTTAGCTCTGCGACGTTCTTTTGATTTACTCGGTTTTCAGTTGACAAGCGGCACGCGAGCAGAGCAGACGACCGAGAGATTGTTTAGCATAATGTCAGAGAGGTGTCTACAAGTCATAAAACATAATTAAATACTAATTTTTATTATCATACACATAATAAACAAATATTATAATCGTTATTTTAGCCTGGAGACTTTTGAAATTTCACTGCCCGTGGGCCAGATAAAGGGCGTCAAACGTCGCACTCTCTACGATGACGATTACTTCAGCTTCGAGCGTTTGCCCTTTGCCCAACCGCCGCTGGGCGAGCTGCGCTTCAAGGCGCCGCAGCCGGCAGAGCCCTGGTCCGGCGTGCTGGACTGCACCCACTATGCCGAGAAGCCCGTGCAGAAGGCCATGTTAACTGATGTCATCGAGGGCAGCGAGGATTGTCTCTATCTGAATGTGTACGCCAAGCAGGTGACTATCTAAAAATCAAATATAACCTGTGATGGATAGCCATAATTGCCCATGTTCCACTGATAACAGCTTAAGACGGCAAAACCCCTGCCTGTTATGGTTTATATTTATGGCGGTGCATTCTCCATGGGCGAGGCCACCCGGGAGCTATATGGGCCGGATTATTTTATGGCTAAAGATGTCGTTCTAGTTACGCTCAACTATCGCGTTGATTGTCTGGGTAAGAATTAAATATCTTATCGTTTGACAATCTCTAAATTTGGATTGTTTTGTTATTGAACAAGTTTCTGTTATCGCTGATAGCTTCCAAAGGGTATAAAGTTCGAGCTTTAGTTAAGATATTTTTGCTTAGATTTGAAAGTTCACCCAATTTACACCTTTTATTGAGTGTAAACAGAAAGTAAAATGAAAATTGATTCCAAGTTTTTTGTAGGTTTTCTTTTATGAGAAAAAACTGCTTTGCTACCTTCTGTACTCGTTTTTTAGCCTTTTCCAGCTTTTTTCAAGCTAACCCAACTTGTGCTCTCTTCCTTGTTCTCATTCTTACAGGTTTCCTCAGTCTGAAAGACCCCAGCTTGGAGGTGCCTGGCAATGCTGGACTTAAGGATCAGGTTCTAGCTCTCAAATGGGTCAAGCAATATATTTCCCATTTCAATGGCGATGCTAACAACATAACGGTATTTGGCGAGAGCGCCGGCGGCTGCTCCACCCACTATATGATGTGCACAGAGCAGACGCGTGGACTCTTCCACAAGGCCATACCCATGTCGGGCACCCTGCACAATTACTGGTCAAATACGCCGACCGCAGATTTCGCCTATCGGCTGGCCAAGGCGCACGGCTATGAGGGCGACAACATTGATCGTCTGGTGTTGGAGCATTTGCGCGGCGTGGCGCCACATCAGCTGGTTAACCACAGCCTGCTCACCGCCGAGGAACGACGCAATGGCCTCATCTATGCTTTTGGGCCCACCGTCGAGCCGTATATCATGCCGGACTGCGTGGCGCCGAAGCGGCAGCTGGAAATGGCGCGCGAGGCTTGGAGCAATGAGCTGCCCGCCATGCTGGGCGGTGTCTCCTTCGAGGGCCTGTTCATGTATCCAGCTCTGAAGGCCAATCTTAAGGGCTTGGATAGCTTGCCGCAGGATCCGTTGCGCATCATGCCCCACGAAGTGCTTGTGCTCAATACGGAACAGCAGAATCTGGAGTTCAGCAAGAAGCTGATCGAATTGTACTTTGGTGATGCTACACCCAGCTCCGAGCTCATCATGAATTTTATGGATGTGAGTTTGAAACACTTTCTTGTACCCTGTACCCATTCAAAATGGAAAAAGGGTATATTAGTTTTATAAGAATGTATGTTAAAGTCAGCAGGAGGCAACTCCGACCCCCCGACTAGAGCAATCTTTATCTCACATTCTGTACAATTAATTTCTGCCTCTTTCAGTACTATTCCTATAAGATCTTCTGGCATGGCTTTCATCGCACTTTGCAAGCCCGCCTGGCCTATGCCAAGGCGCCCACCTATTACTATCGCTTCGACTTTGATTCGCCCGATTTCAATTTCTTTCGCAAGAAGTTCTGTGGCGATGACATTCAGAAGGGCGTTGCCCATGCGGATGAGCTGAGCTATTTGTTCCGCAACTCGCAGTCCTGGAAGCTGGACAAAGCATCGGGCGAATATCGCACCATACAGCGCCTGGTGGACATCTGGACATCCTTTGCGGCCACCTCCAATCCCAACTGCGCGGGAACCGCGCATCTAAACTGGCAGCCCGCACAGCAGGAGCAGCCACAGCGTGTGCTTAACATTGGCAATGAGGTGGAGATCATCGTTCAGCCCGAGCACGAGAAGCTGCTCGTCTGGGATAGCCTATATAAAAAAGAGGATTTGTTTTAGGCCTGCTCCAGGTTGAAAGGCTACCTCCAACCTCCTACTCTTGCGCTGAGTGAGTTGTAGCCACATGTAAATAAACCGTATAATAGCATATGAGAGTTGTTTGAAATTATTCACCTCTTTTTGGTACACCTGTATACGTATACCAAGTTTATTTGGTATTTTGAAAATTTCAGAAATATTGACTCAGCAATACACAATTTACTAGTATTAGTATTTTATAAATTGCAATTAGCACTCATAACTTAGTATTAAAAGCTTTTTAAATAATGTTTTTGAAAAAATAAAAGAATTCAAATGAGTTTCAAATTTAATATTCCTAGGTATTACTTTATTTAAACATTTCTTAATTGGACTCTTCTAGGCACTTCTCAATTAGTTTTAATTTATTTTGTTTTTTTTTTTGTTATTTATTTTTTTCAAACCTTTATTAGTTGATTAGGAGATTTCTTTCATACGCCATTTTAAGAGAATTTCTCAATTTGTTACCATCGTTTTCTGAAGTTTTCCTTTTTTGTGATAAGAAAATCATGTACAAAATGGTTTTCTGCGTTTTTGCTCTCCTGTCAATTTTCAACTAAACTTCGTTTGTCTCGCCTTATAACATGGCTCTCTTTGTTTTCAATTCTGTATAGTTTTCGTACTACAATTTTTTTTTGATAGTTTTATAATTTGATACGTTAAGCTAGCTCTGAAATTACTATTCTGCTTGTATTGCAATTAGATACTCTCCAATTGAGCAACAAGGTTTTACAGCTTGTTGAGCCATCGTCTGACCTTACGGATCATAATATCAATCTTCTCTTTTATCTTTATATACTTAGTATAGTTTCAATTTCTTATAGAAGGAATCCCACAAGTGCAGTTCCTTACTCTCGGGCAGTTCAATAAACTGAAGATTTGTGCCAATGTTAAGGCACATTGGAGTACCGTGTGATTTGAGGGCCTCCCAAGTGGCAGGTTTGAGAATTTCGCAATTGGGATCATCGTGTGCCGCGAATGCCGTCCACATGCCTATCATCCGTTCGATGGTGCGGTATTCAAACGAGGTCTTCTCCAATTTGTAAGATGGTATGCAGTAAAACAAATAGAGGAAATCATCGGCATGGCAAACACCACGCTCATTGCGTCCACACACCATGATGCGAGCATAGTTGAAGCTATGCGAGTCGAAATCAAAGCGATAGAGGTAGGTGGGCGCGCTTGACGCATAGGCCAGCCGGGCGAGGACAGTTCGATGGATAGCATGCCAGAAGTGCTTGCAAGAGAGCAGATGCAGGCACTCCTTGAACTCCATGTGCTCTCGGGTGGCATCGTCGAAATATGAGATCTTCAGACGTCTAACGTGAGCCTGAATCTCTGCCGGCGTGCATGAAAAGCGCACCTCTCTGGGTATTAAGGCTTCGAATGCGCTCAGCATGTACTCCATATCACCCGTTATATGCTGGTAGAACACCAAGCCCTCGAAGGAGGTGCCTCCAATGATAACGGGTAGCTTATTGCCCCAGGCGTGGGATAGACTCTGGCAAGGCGGCATGGAGATCACACAGCTTTCGCTCACGTAGGGCTCAACGACGGGTCCAAACGGAATCAGCACGTAATCACGTTTATCCTCCTTCATGATCAACCTTCTACAGCCACTGATGTCCTTTGCTGGGATGCTCTGCAGAAAGCGAAATATTTCCTGGTCATTTTCATCGCCTTCGTAGCCCAGCTTACAGGCCAGCCAATAGGGCTTGGCGTACTGGGTCTCATCGATCCATTCACATAGCGATGATCCCGACATGAGAATGGCCTTGTGGAAGAGTCCTCGTGTCTGTTCCGTGCTCATCATTATCTGAGTGGAAGCAGCGCCCGCACTTATGCCCATTAGTGTAATGTTGTTTGGATCACCGTTGAAGTTAGCGATGTTTTTGTGTATCCAGCGCAGGGCCATTACCTGATCCTTGAGCCCAGCATTGCCAGGTACATCCAAGTCCGGATCCGAGAGGCTGAGGAAACCTGTAATAAGAGAGATTAGTCTTGATACCAGCTAAAATAAAGGCAAGCAAAGGAATGCAGACTAAGTGTAACAAATTTTGCAAATTCGCAAATATTGCAGTTTATTTCTTCCCCAACCATCCCGCCACCACAGAACTCGAAATTCTATATCATCCACAGTTTAAACATAGAATGAGATGATGAGATCCTTCTAACAATCGCTTGCAATTTTCTTTCTTATTCTTCTTCTATTCGTACACTCACCCAAAGCTCCCAGCCTGTAGTTAAGTGTGACTAGAATAACTTCCTTTTGCATAAAGTAATCTGGACTGTGAACATCCCTTGTGGCCTCGCCAATCTGAAAACCCCCACCATAGATCCAGACCATGACGGGTAATGGGTTTTCCGACTTAAGGCTTTTGGAGTACACATTTAAGTAGAGGCAATCTTCCGAACCCTCGATCGAACGCAGCACCAAATGTCGGTGCATGGGCTTTGAACGTGGATACGTGCAGTCCAGGATGTGGGTCCACGTCTCCGGTGGTTGGGGCGCCCTAAAACGCAGCTCACCCAACGGCGGCTTGGCATAGGGTATGCCCTCGAAGGCAAAGTAGAGCTCTTCGTCGTAGAGAGTCTTACGCTGAAGGCCGCGCACCCGTCCGTACTCGGTGTCCAGGACCGTTTCGATATCAGTGGCCAGATTGTACTGGACCATCCTGTGAGCGATGCTCCTTTAAATAAATGAAAATGCATATTGAGTGTCCTCTTATAGCAAACTTGTGTCACCTACTTGGTGGCCAGCCTAAAGCGCTCCGTAGCACACACTTTCACATTCATTTCGGCGGAGTATCACATGCTTGTCGCCCCATTCAGAAAGAATGTCTTACTTATTTACAGGACGCATAAGGATATGTTTATTGGGTATCTCTTTCATCTAGTACAGTGTGGCTGCCTGTCAGCACTTTTCCCCCCTTCACTTGTTTCAATTTGAAATAGAAAATATATTTGAAAATATTTCGTGAGAAACAAAGTGCCTTGCCTACTTTTTGAGGCAATCAAAACTATTAAAGATTGTCGAAATATCATTTATCAATTTTTTGCTTTTTTTTTAAAGATCGTCTATAATTTTAAAAACAATTTTTTGTATTTGTTTACCACATGATAAATCCAGTTTAATCTTTGCGTACTTCAATTAAGTAAAACAACAATTATATTAGCAAACTAGTTCTATAATTGTTTTGTGGCTTATAAAGCAATTATATATCTATACTAGCGGGTATTGCCTGGCCTTGCTCGTGGAAAGTTTTGTGCGAAAATTTTTAGATATTACCTTTCCACTAAGTATACGGCCGTGGAAAATTGAAATCTACCCGTCTTGATCTCTACTTCTATTTAAAATATGTTTCAAGTGTTCAAGAATCAACGGTTTCCCGTCATGTTAGACTTGTGGTGAACATTTTGAAACTGATGAACAAACTTTCGTGTGGAATTTCCGAAATCGCTGAAACACGTTTTCATTAATTTCATTAATTCATTTCATTAATTATGTAAGGCTTTGAAAATAATTTTGAAGCAAATCGGACAAAACTTAAAACTTCTCCAAAAAAATCTTAGAATCGCACTTTCCACCGAAGAAGCTTAGATTCTGCGAAAAGTGTGAAAATGAATTTGAGCGCGAAACGTCACCCATCAAATCTTTGACCCCCATTTCCACCTAAGAGGATTGCATTTTTCGAAAAGTGTGAAACACGCCTCAAATAAATTTGAACAAAGATCTTTGAAAATGAGATTGAGGCCGATCGGATGCTAAACAAAAAGTTGCATACAAACGTTTTTCGCGATTTTCCCACAATTGCGGGTGGAATTTTAACGTGTACCTTTATCATGTAAGGCAACTACGTGGAGAATGTCAGCTTCCCAGCTCTTACGATTTGGGCTGTGCGGTGATCACCAATCAATCAGTCAGTCAGTCAGTCAGTCAGTCAGGACAAACATTTTAATATATAGAGATAATACAGCAATAAATAAACTTATGGCTTCGACTCTGGACGAAGTTGGAGATGGGCGCGTGTCGTGAATGAATGAACGTGACACGAATTTTCATAATTACTTTGATAAAAGGCATTGACGTTTATTTTGTAGTTCACAAATATTTTATATAAAATTATAAAATGATTGGATAACAGAATAAATAAATAATTTCCTTAAAATATATTATTAATTTTGGTCAACCTTTGGATGTTTTCCGTTTCGTCTGCCTATAAAAAAGTATTACGACATGCGCTCTTATCTTATTTTACAATTTACTAGACTATATGTATATATATATATATATATATATATGTATATATGTATACATATATATATTTATTTAACCAACGATCTCACAAGCCTCTTAAACCTTTGATGTGATGACCCAAATATTATACAATATCAAACTGTCGACCTTACGCTCACCTAACACAATTTCAGTTTCTTATAGAAGCTATCCCAGAGTTTCAGCTGCTTGATCTCGGGCAATTCTATGAACTGCAGTTGTCGTCCAATGTTTAGGCACTTTGGAGTAGAGTTCGAGTCGAGGGCCTCCCAGCAGACAGGCAACACCTGAGCGCAGTTGGGATCATTGTGCGTCGCGAATGCCGTCCACATGCCAACCAGGCGCTCGATAGTCAGGTATTCCGGCGAAAACTTGTCCAGCTTGTAGGCTGGGACGCAGTAGAACAAATAGAAGAGATCATCCGCGTGTGAGACGCCTCTTTCATGGCGGCCACACACCATAATGCGATAGTGATTGAAGGTGGGCGAGTCGAAGTCAAAGCGATACAGATAGGTGGGCTTGGTCGGCGCATAGGCCAGCCGGGCGAGTACGGTTCGATGGATACCATGCCAAAAGTGCTTAAAGGAAAGCAATTGCAGGCACTCCTTGAACTCCATGCGGCCTCGAGTGGGATCGTCGAAGGATGACACCTTGAGGTGTCTGATGTGTTCCTTAAGCTCCGCTGGCGTGGACACATCGCGCACCTCTCTGGGTATTAAGGCTTCAAAGGCGCTAAGTAGATGCTCCGTATCCCGCATTACGAACTGGTAGGAGAAGAGGCCCTCGAAGGAAGTGCCACCAATGATTACGGGCAGTTCATTGCCCCAGGCCTGGGACAGCATCTCCTCAGGTGGCCTGAAGATCACACAGTTGGCGCTCACATAAGGTTCTACGACGGGTCCAAAGGGAAACAGTATATAATCACGTAACTCCTCCTGGTTTTGCAGCGTTGTACAGCTGGCAATTTCTCTAGCCGAGGCTCGCTGTAGAAAACGAAAGACTTCCTTCTCATTGTCGCTGCCCGCATAGCCCAGCTGGCAGGCCAGCCGATGGGACCAGTTGTGCTGGGGCTCCCGGGCCCAGCCACAGAGCGATGAGCCCGACATGAGAATGGCCTTGTGGAAGAGTCCTCGTGTCTGTTCCGTGCTCATCATTATCTGAGTGGATGCAGCGCCCGCACTGATGCCCATTAATGTAATGTTGTTTGGATCACCGTTGAAGTTAGCGATGTTGTTGTGTATCCAACGCAGGGCCATTACCTGATCCTTGAGTCCAGCATTGCCAGGTACATCCAAGTCCCGATCGGAGAGGCTGAGAAAACCTGTGACAAAGGCATGTATTATTATATAAATTACATTCGCAAAATATAACATATTTATTATTCAATTACAATTCCCTTTTTGCCATTTGAATTTTGGTTTTATAAGTAGTTTGGACTGTAAGGCATTCTGTTAAGTTAACAGCTTCAACATTTACATAGCTTTAACATGTCTGTTAGCTAACCCATATATAAGCATAAGCATGTAGGTAAAGAAAATCTGGTATACGTATGCCGGGTTGCTGTTAACTTTTACGGGAATGGAAGAGAGCCGCACATATTATTAATACAAAATTAATAATTATACTTTTTATCGCAATACAGGTGGGTTGTACGCCCAATAACGTTAATCACAGCATGTAATTTAGATTGCCGACACGCTAACGAGTGCTCTACTTATACATACACAATAAAGAGTGTGAGAGTGAGAGCAAATTTCACAGAATTTCGAAATTTTACCGCACTCTTCAAACTCATCCTGAGATTAAATAAGCACTCACCTAAAGCGCCCAGCCTGTAGTTAAGTGTGACTAGAATAACATCCTTCTGCATAAAGTAATCTGGACTGTGAACATCCCTTGTGGCCTCGCCAATCTGAAAACCCCCACCATAGATCCACACCATGACGGGCAGGGGCTTTTCCGACTTAAGTTTCTTTGCGTACACATTTAGGTATAGGCAATCCTCGGAACCCTCGACCACATGCATCACAAAATGCTGTTGCATGGGCTTTGCGCGTCCATACGTGCAATCTCTGATGCCCTTCCAGGGTTCTGGGGGCTGTGGCGCCCTAAAACGTAGCTCACCCAACGGCGGCTTGGCATAGGGTATGCCCTCGAAGGCAAAGTAGAGCTCCTGCTCGTAGAGGGTCTTACGCTGGAGGCCGCGCACCCGACCATATTGGGTTTCGAGCACCGCCGTGACCTTTGTGGCCAGTGTGTATTGCACGATCTTGTGGCCGATGAGCCTGCCATTGGATTAGAGTAGAGCAATCGAAATTCATATTATTGGCCTGATAAACGAGTTGATCGTATCTTATCGCTGAACTTTTGCTGGCTGTTGGCATTTACGATGCCATTGACAGCGATTAAATGGGAAGACTCATGTCACCTACTTGGTGCCCAGCTTCAGCAGATCCGCAACACCCATTTGCACATTCATGTTCGATGGGTATTACGTCCAATTTCAGTGACTGGCGTTGCTTTCACTTCCGTCCCTAGCAATTGACAAGCTGCAACTGAACGTTCAACTAGAATAGGGCCTATCTACGAATGCTCGTACGCGCACCCAATTTTCATACACAGTGGTAACTCGCTAACGGCAACTTGGTTATTAATTTGTGAAGAGAAATGGACTCGGAAATGCTTGACAGTATAAATTTTGATAAATTTTTGACACATGATGCTTACATTTTGGAATGAAATATAATTAAATATATGATCTTTTAATTATTCGCTGAAACATTTGCTGTTAAATTTCATGACGTTCTTATGTTAATTGAAAATTTGCCTTAGCCAGTGTTTACTGTATGTAGTTATTACAATCTTCGAAGCGGCCGGAGTCTCCCAGTTGATGTTTTAATCACGAACGACAAAAGCGACCGCTTATCTCGATAGACGACGCTGTTGTTGCTCTTATTGAAAAACATATGGCAATGGGAGCATGAAAACTTTATTGATAATGCCCGTTGTACCGGGCAGTACAGAGAGCGCTACTACAACAATTTCCAGACAGCTGTTCGTGTTGTTAACGTTTAATGGGCCGCAAAACCTGGTTGACATTGTTGTTGTTGCTTGTTGCTTGTTGCTGATTTAAAAAATATAAAAATATAAGTGGATTTTTATGTGTGCTCAGGTTGTAAGATCACAATTAACACTATTAAATATTATTTTATCTACTTGAGCAAAAGGGCATACTTGCATCACAGACTAATTGCGTTCTTTCCAGCTATTAAATCAGTTTACTGTAGTTAAAACGAGGTTTTAAGTTTAGCTGTTATATTGGTATAACAGTTTTTCCTGTAGGTAACACTAGACTCTCTGCTTAACAGAGCGCTGTTAAGTTTTAGTTACATGCAGTCGCATAACATGCTCGAAGTGTTTTATTACTGAAAAATATTAGCATTAAATATAGATAATTTGATTATTTGGTTTATTTGTGTAATTTAATTTTATAAATTTATTAGCTCAAAAGGAATTTGTTCTCTGTTTTGATTTGCTTATAAATATAAGCTTATATTATAAAAGCTGATAAAGCTTTTTAAACTGCAAAAAATACTTCACTGCCAATAAACATTTATTTATTTTGAAACGAACACACGATATGCTATTTTGATTGCAGTTTATTGAACTCAGGTAAGCTTGTATATAAAAGAAAAGTAAACATGAATGAGGATTCCCAGCTGCGCAACATTTGTTTCAGCTGAATTCAGGGATTCGAACACGGAACTTTCTTGTGCAGCCGTTTATTGGAACTTGAACCTGAAAGATCTGACTGTTCGGAGTGAAGCCAATTCATTTTTAAACAAAACTATGTTTAGTTTCGGAACACACACATCAAAATTATAATATGTTAAAATTAAGTCGTGGCCACAGCTCTAATAATCTGGTAAAAACTTTAATACTAAAGTACTCGAAATGCACAGCCACAAGCACTGTAGAGCTGCCCATGGGCAAGGTAAAGGGCACACATGAGGAGGGTCACTGTGGCAACGACTTTTACAGCTTCAGAGGCATACCCTATGGCAAGCCTCCGATCAGGGACTTGCGTTTTAGCCCAACGCAACCGGCGGAGCCATGGGGCAATACCGTTCTAGATTGCACCAAGGATCGCCCCGTACCCATGCAAGTGGGCATGTCTACAAACCAAATCACTGGCAGCGAGGATTGTCTGTACATAAATGTGTATACCAAGCATGTTAGTAGCCATCAGTTTCCATTGTGTTGTGCATTTACAGGGTATTCGTATTTACAGTTCGATGAGTCTGAGAAGAAATTGCCGGTTATTGTGAACTTTACCCCTGGTGGCTTTTGCACGGGCGGCGCCATAACCGACAAATTCGGTCCTCAGTATCTTATGCGCGAGGATATCGTGTATGTTATGTTCAATTATCGGCTCAGTGCGCTCGGTTTCCTCAGGATCAACTGCCCAGAGTTGGGCGTATCCGGCAATGCCGGCCTGCACGACCATCTGACCGCAATGCGTTGGGTGCAGAAATACATCTCGTACTTCAATGGGGATCCCGATAATATAACCATTATGGGCACTAGCTCGGGTGGGGCCATGGTGGACTTTATGATGTGCGCACCACAGGCGTCTGGCCTGTTCCATCGGGCCGTCATGATGTCGGGCACAATGACCTGCCCCTGGGCTATTTTGCCTTATGCAGATGATCACTTCTGCCGCCTGGCATGGGAAAGGGGCTACAGGGGTGACACCAAGGCAACGGAAATACTGAAATTCCTGCGCTCCCTGCCCGCCGAGGAGGTAGTGCGCCTGAATCATTTCGACGACTGCGACTATCTCTTTGGACATCTGTATCCGTTTGCGCCACTGGTTCAGGCCCCATCCGGCAACGGTGGCGGCAATGATGCTCTGATTAAGGGCTCCGTTGTAGAGATGTATCGCACGGCTTGGTCCGTGGATGTGCCGCTGCTGATAGGCGGCACCTCGTTCGAAGGTCTCTTTATGTATCCCAAATACAGGGACAGCAAGGGAAAAATGCTGAAAATGCTAAAGAAAAATCCGGCTTTTGCGCTACCCTATGAAATCCATACGAAACTATCGAAGAGAGAGCGTGAGGAGGCCGCCGCAGAGCTCTTGCGCTTCCATTTTGGACATCGTCCCATAGATGAAAATAGTGGAATCCAGCTGCTAGATGTGAGTAGGGCTTACTCGTGTCTTGAAGCCATGTCAAATGTTGATTTGTCTTTATTTTTCAGCTCTTCAGCTATAAGCTCTTTTGGCACGGCATTCATCGCGTGGTGCTCTCCCGACTCGCTCATGCCAAGGCGCCCACGTATCTTTACCGGTTCAGCTACGATTCGCCCACGCCCATTGTGCGACCCTATTTCACCGGTAAGGATATTACGTGCGGCGTTTGTCATGCGGAAGACATGGCCTATTTATTCCCACTCAAGAATCGTACGCCTCGCATGAGTGAGGATGAGAATCTTATCACACAGCGAATGGTTGGCATCCTGACGACATTTGCTCGCACCGGAAATCCAAATTGTGTAGAAACAAAAAGTGTATTATGGAAGCCTTTGAGGAATGAGGATCCGTTCCAGGCCATGTTAATCGACCAGAAGCTGAAATTCGGCACTCAGTCTGAGAAGGATGTCTTGTTGATGTGGAATAAGCTATACGATAATCACAATAGCTTACTCTTTGGTGGATGATATTCGCAGATGTGAACAGATTTTTATTTAACAATATACAGATATACAAATGGTCGAGTAGGGTTGAAATAAATAATACATTTTTGGTTAGCTCTTTGTGTTTGTATGATGCACGTACATATAATGTGAATTTGGACTCTGGCTATGAAGAATAGAAATTGGTCTCGTTTTGGAATAACAATTCAGTGCGCAGTAGCGCAACCAAGTGGGCTTTGCCTTAGCTGAGCTTATTATTTTACATTCGGCAATGACATGTTTAAATTTGGCAGACCGAGAAATTGTAAAGTTCTGCACTTGGTGGCCAGCTGGCCGAACTTCTTCCAGAGAGCCACTTGCGAGACAAAGATCGTGGATCTGCCCGTGGGCAAGGTGAAGGGCAAGTTTCAGGTGGGCATATGTGGCCATGAATACTATAGCTTTGAGGGCATACCCTTTGGCAATCCGCCCATTGGGAAACAGCGCTTTTGCGCGGCCCAGCCGGCGGATCCCTGGTGTGGCAAGGTCTTGGATTGTCTGGAGGAGCGTCCGCGTCCCGTACAGTACGAAGACTCATCAGGCGGCTCGATAGGCGCTGAGGATTGTCTCTACTTGAATGTGTATACCAAGCATGTGAGTGTTTGGATGGGAATCGCAGCAAATTTAATTAATTCGCAGCTTAAATTCAGTTCGATACGGCAAAGTCGCCGCTGCCGGTCATAGCCTATATTCATGGAGGTGGATTTCAAACAGGCGGCGCCACAAGGATTAAGTATGGTCCAGACTTTCTGATGCGCGAGGACATTGTCTATGTGCAGTTCAGTTATCGTCTGTGCGCCTTGGGTTTTCTAAGTCTTAGCTGCCCCGATCTGGGCGTACCGGGCAATGCCGGCCTGCATGACCAGCTACTGGCGCTGCGTTGGACCCAGAAGTATATCTCGCACTTTAACGGAGATCCAAAGAATATAACCTTAATGGGCACCAGTGCGGGTGCCGCCTCGGCGCACTTCATGATGTGCCTGCCGGAGGCATGTGGTCTCTTTCAGCGGGCCATCCTAATGTCCGGGACCATCACATGTCCCTGGGTTCAGGTGCCGAATGCGGACTCCTTGTTTTGCCGTCTGGCCTACAGCAGGGGTTACCGGGGCGTCATGTTGGAGTCGCCAATTTTGGAGTTTCTACGCTCGCTGCCCGCTGAGCAGCTGGTAGAGCACGAACTATTCGGTCCGCGGGATTTCATTTTTGGGCACATGTTTCCCTTTGTGCCTACGCTGGAGAGCCAATCGAGTGGTGAAGGCTTGCTAAAGCGTCCCTTTCTGCATTTGATGCGAGACGCTTGGTCTAAGGAGGTGCCTTTGCTAATGGGCGGCACCTCTTTCGAAGGTCTGGTCATGTGTCCCCACTGCAAGATCAACAATTGTCACATGCTGCAGCTGCTCAAACAGGAGCCAGCGCTGGCGCTGCCCTATGATGTGTACCGCAGGCATACAATGAAAGACCTGACTGACCGCGCTATGGAACTGATCAACTTCCATTTTGGATCTGGGAACATCAATGTCAACAATATCATGCAAATTCTGGATGTAAGTCAAGACAATGCCCCAAATTTAATGCTCAGCTTCAGTTTGGATTTTCTTTATTTCAGCTTTTCAGTTATAAATGCTTCTGGCATTGCATACATCGTGTCGTGCTCTCCCGACTCGCGTTTGCGCAGGCGCCCACCTATCTCTACCGGTTCGACTTCGATTCGCCTCACTACAACTTGATGCGGATCAGACTATGCGGGAATGACATTAGGCGTGGCGTTTGCCATGCCGATGAATTGGGTTACATGTTTCCCAGGGAGGGCCTGCGAACGCAGCCCTTGAATGAAGCTGAGAGTTCGACCATACACCGAATGGTGGGTATTCTGACATCATTCGCACGCACAGGAGATCCAAACTGTGTGGAAACCGAGACGGAGCAGTGGAGGCCTGTGGATAAAGAAAATCCGTTTAATGTCATGAATATTGGGCACAAAGTAGAGTTCCAGCCTCAGTGTGAAAGGGCCGGTATTCAAGTGTGGAATAGTATCTACGATAATGACGAACAACTTTATGGTGGATGACAATTGCTTTGAGCTCGCTATAAATTTCTAAAGTATTTTGATTTCAGGGACAAATTCTGATTAATAAATTTGAATGTTATTTTATACAAAAATCTATTTGAGTACAGACCTATGTTAGTTAACAGCAAAAGATCTTCGACAGAGCGTTTGGACTGCTTTCATACTGTTAAATAGACTTCGACTGTTATTGAAATGTCAACTGTTAAATATGATAAGCCTGTTAACACGTGCAGCTGTTAACCAGACGACATTATTACATTGTATTACATTTTGCCCTGCTGCAAATTAGCAACATTTAATTGCAAATGTGGCTGTTATTAGGTAATCAGAAAATCGACTAAAACACAAGTACATACCTGATATGCCTAATAAATTCGTACAAAAAATATTTAAAATGCAAGGCATTCCATGCTATCTGCAAGTGTGTGTTAAGTTGTAGCTGATGCAATATTTCGATCCTCCACTGTACGCTGTGCTTTGTGCTTTAAGCTCGTTCGGCTAAGCTTTCTGCGGCGATGCCCCATGAAATGCAAAGCGTGTTGTTAACAACGCGCCGGCAACAATAATTTCTGTTGTTTGTTTACACTGTCGGCGCGATCAAGTGTGCCGGGGAGTCGGCCGCGCAGCGCCCCCCTCTGCCCTAACAAGTCAGCCGGTATTTGCCTTACCTCAGCTAAACAGTTAAAAGATACTCGAATTCGTGTTTGTTTGATTTGTTGCTAAAAACCGTCTGCGGTTTGGTGCAGCTCGTGTTGTGTGGCTATTGGCAAATCAATTGATTAATTATGCAGTCGCTTTAGGCGCGTCTACAAGTGGCCACAGCCATAGGCAGCGGGCGCCCCACTCGCCCGCCCACGATCCCACGGCTGCGTATCTGTATCTGTGCCGGTCCGCGCACTTGAAATTCAAAGTTGTTATTGTATTTTGATATTTTTTTTTTTTTTGTGTTGTGTTTTCTTTTTGTTTTGTTCAGTTTTTATTCTGATATTTGCTTTATTCTATACGGTATATACTTATACACATATATGTTTATTTCCCTCGCTCCCCAACCCACCAGCCACGTTTCGCTTGTTTTGTTCGCCTGAAGCGTCGACAACTGAACTGAATATGGAATAAAAAAGTTTTAATTTCAGTTTCAGTTTAGCGCTGGCGCGTTACAGTCCAAGCGATCGGTGGAAATACAAAAAGAGCCCATAGTTATATAGTTCGTATATGGTTGATTGTCTATTCTAAAGATGAACAAAAATATTGGCTTTGTGGAGCGCATACGCTGGCGTTTCAAGTGAGTGCGGCTCTGACCCACAATTAATCCATTTTCATTTATTTCATTATTGCTTAGATACTTGGTTGAATAGATCAAGTGTCAATCTCTATTGTTCGGCTCTCCTCATATTCATATTCATATTCATATTCATTAAGACGCATGACTTAACTTTTTGACTCATTCTGTGAGCTAATCAAAATATGTGATAAGTTATTTTTGTGCAATATGATGCCAACACCTTGATTACCAATAAATTCATAACAGATACAAACACATGTGTAAAGTGCTGATTAAGCAGGTTCACTTCGACATGACTAAGTATAGTTTAGGTACAAAATAAATTTCAGCTTTATTTATTCATGCAAATGAAAATATACTTTGCATGAACAGAAGCTTTATTTAAGCTGATTAAATAATTAATGGATCTATATAGCAAAAAATAAAGCTGAAATGGCATTTTAAGGAATTATATTTATGAAAATAGAAATATTTTGTGCATGATTTTAAGCAAAAGCTTTTATTAAGCTGATCGATAAATTAATCGATCAGTGTAACAGAAAAAAAAGCTCAAGTGTTTATAACTCAATTTATTACCACGATGTTATAAACAGGTAGATTTAATTGTTGTTACTTTTTTATCTGACTTTTATATATTTTTATTAATAATTTTAAACAGAAAAAGTTAGTTTTTTATTTGAGTTTTAATATTGTCTGTTAGAAATATATAATTGTTAACTTATGAACAGCTCGCATTATTAAGAATAGTTTTTTGTGTTATAGATAGAGTTTTTATCATCTTAATGAGCTTTACCTGGGCATGACTTTCGAATGCTATGAAATAAATAGAGATTTTTATTTGTAATAAAAAAAAGATGTACTTTTATCGCACAACTTTTTGCCACAAATTGCAGTTGAATAGTTTTATAATTAATAGCTATTTAATAAATCAACTATGATTTGTTCCGTTAGCATAAACTTGAGATATCATATTTCACAAAAAGTTAACGCTTTAGTCACACAGATAAAATGCACACCCACATATCGTACAGCTTATAGTAAATCAATAAAGTTTTTATGTTAATCATAAAAATGTCACATAATCCCTTAATTTATATCCCTCAATCGTTTAATGCGTTCGCCTATTTATCGCTTAATCAGTTTAATGAGTAACATATTTTGTATTTACGGCCTTTCATTAAAGCATAGTTCGCCATAATCGAAGAGATGTGCATAAAAACATTTTGTTTATACAGTCAAATTTTATGTTAGGGTCTGTTGATTTTATATATCAATTTTTTTTATGATATGTGCCAAAGTCAACTACGCACAGCATTCTTTTTATACGACTCTAACAATAAACAAATAAATGCAATTGTGTACTATATATTATTAATAGAATTATTCTCTAAGTATGCCAAAGGCGTTGAGTTTCAATGGGAAATGGCCCGATATGCGCATTGAATATGATATTATTGGGCATATCGCCCCCGCCTTAGAAACATTCATGCCTGACATGCACCCATTATCACATTTCTATTATATAGTATAAATATACGAGAGTTAATTCGCACGTTTAAATTCCCCGGCAATTTAGCTGACATCTGCCCATGTTAAATGAAACGTTGTTAATTAAATAAACGTTGGTAATTTGATTTGTTTATTAAACGCAAGCAAATATAATTATTATTGAGCAAATGCATTTATGTAATGGTAAAGTTTAAAACGCGATCTATGTGCCGAATGTTGAATACCTTTCAAGCTGGTTCTCACAATTAACATAGATAATAAAGTGTTATTCACTCTCTTATGCAGAAATACGTAGAGTATAAGCAGAGCTGATCGACGACATGATGACATTGATAGAACCATTTCTTAGTAACATAACCAGAGAGGTAACTCAATACAAAATGTGTAACACATGCGGTTTATATTCAGAACTGATTCAATCTATTTCAGCACATACAGTGCCTATTGAAAGCGCATTTACTCATAAGGAAATGCCTCTCTGTTTGGTAACTCCCTCAATACATGTTACAATATAGAAACACAATACCCTCCATATATTTACGAGTATTATTCTATTTTGGCTGGGGTTTGCTTTAGAAAACACGACCCGACTGATAAGTGCTATTACTTTAACAATCATTATATAAATAATCTTGGCACTCTATAGTAAGTAGATGCTGTAGCCCTATCTCTATATATACATATAATCAGAGCTGTTTTGTGTCCCGCTGATAACTGAGTGCTACTCGACGACACAAGGTTCAACATGAAGTGTGTGCTCGGACTCGAGAGCTACTTTAAGTGAGGGCAGGCCGAGCGCCCAGTGTCCACTGCCAGTTGAGTGCACTGTAGCGTGACCTGGCCGGTTTGTCAGCCGGTTTTCATTTATCACTGGCAGACGTGCCCAGTTAACGGGATGTGCTACATAAAGTCCTCCGCTGGATGCCAATGCTCCAGTTAGCCTCAAAAGATGAGGCTGTTGTCTAGTTGATGAGCTGACGATATGGTAAATAGCAGCAACAGTAGCCACAGCAGCCGCATCAGCAAAATAATTTCAATTTAATGCTAATTGAAACATGTATGCGTATGCGAGCTCGACTAGCAGATGCCCTGCAGCCAACTTGAGGGTGAGATGGGCAGAAAGAATTCATAAGTAAACATTAAACAGCGAAAAAAAAATAGAATTGCGTTTGTTAACAAAAATTGCATTGAAAAGTCTCAGATCAGATGGGGAATAACATATAGTTGAAGTCAAGATGATTATTTTTTTCTAATTAATGTTAACAGGGTATCATGCACATAACTACCCAGTAGCCAGCTTGAACAAAAGATATAGACAAAGAAACCGACTCATAAGATTAAATAGCGAAGAAAACTAGATCTACATTTATGAGAAGTTAAAGTCCATAATCAGGTATAAATATAAATTGTACAGAAAAATCTCAGATGAAATATTCTCCATTTCTGCACATAACACATAAGATAGTCAAGTTGAGTGTACCCCATTTTGCCTCAACAATGTTTACAGGGCATTATGCACGCAACAGTGGACAAAAAGTATTATATTAACTAGGCTAATATGTATATGTATGCAAGCTCAGACTTCTATTATTATGTTAATTTTCACATTTTGCAGAACCTTTGAGCATAAAATCCAACAATATCGCCAGACCACAAACGAATCGGTTATAGCCGACACCGAATATGGCAAAGTGCGGGGCGTAAAGCGTTTGTCCATCTACGATGTGCCCTATTTTAGCTTTGAGGGGATACCCTATGCCCAGCCACCGGTTGGGGAGCTGCGTTTTCGTGCACCGCAACGACCCACACCCTGGGAGGGCGTCAGGGACTGTACGCAGCCCAGGGAGAAGGCGGTGCAGGTGAACTTCATCTACGACAAGGTCGAAGGCGCCGAGGATTGCCTCTATCTGAATGTCTATACGAATAATGTAAGTTATTATTGTAATCCCAATCGATCTTTGATCCGAATCAAACATAATTTTGCTGCATGCACAGGTAAGTCCTGCCAAAGCACGTCCTGTTCTGGTCTGGATACATGGCGGTGGCTTCATCTTGGGCGAGGCCAATCGCGATTGGCACGGTCCGGACTATTTTATTAAGGAGGATGTCGTCCTGGTTACCATACAATATCGCTTGGGTGCCCTGGGTAAGTTGTAAGCAAGAGCTCATGGTCCAAGTTCATCACATCCTCTGTTCCTCTGCCCGTAGGCTTTCTCAGCCTGAAGACGCCCGGCCTGAATGTGCCCGGCAATGCGGGTCTTAAGGATCAGGTGCTGGCACTTAAATGGATTAAGAACAACTGCGCCAGTTTTGGCGGCGATCCGGATTGCATAACGGTCTTTGGCGAAAGCGCCGGAGCTGCGTCCACACACTACATGATGCTCACCGAGCAGACGCAAGGCCTCTTTCATCGCGGCATCCTGCAGTCGGGCAGCGCCATCGCACCTTGGGCCTTTAATGGGGACATCACGCATCGCGCCTTCACCATTGCCAAGCTGGCCGGCTACAAGGGCGAGAACAATGAGAAGGATGTGCTGCAATTTCTGCAAACAGCCCCAGCCAGGGATTTGATACGCGTAGAGGAGCAGGTACTGACGCCGGAGGAGCATGCCCAAAAGGTGATGTTCCCCTTTGGACCTGCTCTGGAGCCATATGCAACGCCCGAGTGTGTGCTACCCAAGCATCCGCGTGACATGATGAAGAACGCTTGGAGCAACTCGATACCCATGATGATCGGCAACACCTCCTTTGAGGGGCTGCTCTGGGTGCCAGGTTAGTGCAGTCTCAGATAACCCCAAAGGAACACATGCTTACGGTGTGTCTTTGCAGAGATCAAAATGATGCCACAGGTGGTGCAGCAACTGGAAGAAGGCACAGCCTTCGTGCCGCGTGAGCTAGCAGAGCTCGACAGCGAGAAGATTAGCAATTGGGCTCTAAAGATACGCGGTGCCCATGTAACTGGCGAGAAGGCCACACCAGATAACTACTTGGATGTTAGTTGCAGTAACAAAGTTATACTTGAAAATCAGACTTAATTGATGACTGATTGACTGGCGAAATGACTGGATGATTGACCAGAATACTGATAGATTGACTGAGTGACAGATTGATCAACTCATTTTTTTTTTTGACTTTCAGGCTGACTGATTATAATCAATAATTATTGACGTGAAATCCTGACTGCCAGATAAGCTGATGGAGTGTTTAAGAGGCTGACAAATTGATTGAGTGATCAACTGACTGACTGACAAGAGTGACTGATTGATTATTAAATTGATTGACTTGTTGAATGACCGACAGATGGATTAGCCTATTAACTTACTGACAGATTAGAAGATTGATTGACTGACTGATTAGCTGACTAATTGATTGACTGCCTGACTGATAGCTTGCCTGAGTGTTCGTTGATGAGAAAGACTGATCACTAGATCGACCGATGTACAGACTGAAAGTTTGATAAATTATTTGACTGACTGATTGACATATTAAGTGGTTAACTTGCTGAAAGATTGACAGATTAATTGTCTGACCACCAATCAATTAACTAACTGATAGACTGAAAGATTGATTGGCTGACTAATTAAATGATTGACTGATCGATTTATTGACTGACTGAATATTAAACTGATCGAGTGGCTGACTAATAGGTTGACCTGAAATAAGGGACTAATTAAATAACTGAATAGCTGGCCGGCTGATTGACTGATGGACTGACGACTGACTGGCATATCGACTGACTGACTTTTCAAAAGATTTATAGATTAATTGGCTGACAGATGGACTGACAGAACTGACTGACTATTCAAAAGATTGATAGACTAATTGGCTGACAGATGGACTGACAGAATGCCTGACAGATTGTGTACTGCCTAACGCATATCCCCTACTCAAATTAAGAGTAATTAAAGTTGGGTCTAGCCATGCCACCTATTCTTAAACTATCTTTCCCATTCTCTTGCTTGCAGCTGTGTTCCATGGTCTACTTTATCTTTCCTGCTCTGCGCGTGGTGCGCTCTCGACATGCTCACGCCGCCGGCTCGCCCGTTTACTTCTATCGCTACGATTTTGACTCGGAGGAGCTAATATCCCCCTATCGGATAATGCGTTTTGGGCGTGGCGTGAAGGGCGTCAGTCATGCGGATGAATTGACCTATCAGTTCACCAGTGTACTGGCACGCCGCATGCCCAAGGAGAGTCGCGAGTACCGCAACATTGTGCGCACGGTGGGCATCTGGACGCAGTTTGCGAGAAGTGGTAATCCCTATAGCTCCGAGATCAACGGCATGGATATGATTACATGGGATCCAGTACGCAAAAGCGACGAGAGTATAAAGTGCCTCAATATTAGCGATGAGCTGAAATTTGTGGAGCTGCCCGAGTGGTCCAAAGTAAAGATCTGGGAGAGTCTCTTCGATGATAACAGGGAGCTGTTATTTTGAGAAGAAAAGAAGTTATTGGCATATGAATTTGTGCATTAGTCAAGCTATGTTGATATGATTTTAAAGCATAAAACCATTGGTGGATTGTTATTGTAATTAAAGGGAAATATTTATGTATATATATGTGTGTATATATAGACATAATAGGCTTGAAAAACTCACTCAGCAATTGCCCAAAATTATTTGTATTTAGAAATTTAACAGCTGACATAAAAAAAAACAAAAAAATCAAAAAAAAAAAAATCAGACTATGTCCGCCTCACGTCGTTTAAGTCGCGAACTAAGCGATATTCTGGCTGCCAAGTCGAAAGTCCTGCGCAATATCGAAGCATCGGATGAGTCCTTGCTGCTGTGGACGGGGCTGTTGGTGCCAGAGAAGGCGCCCTACAATAAGGGCGCCTTTCGCATTGAGGTTAGCTTCCCAGCACAGTATCCCTTTATGCCCCCGAAGATACTATTTAAGACCCAAATCTATCATCCCAATGTCGATGAGAAGGGTCAGGTGTGCCTGTCCATTATAACAGTCGACAACTGGAAGCCCACAACGCGCACTGAGCAGGTGTTCCAGGCTCTCATTGACATTGTGCATAACCCCCAGCCGGAGCATCCATTGCGCTCTGATTTGGCCGAGGAGTTTGTCAAAGAGCACAAAAAGTTTATGAAGGCCGCGGAGGAGTTTACCAAAAAGAATGCCGAAAAGCGTCCCCAGTAAATAAGAATTAAAAAAAATAATATAAAAATCATCGCCAAAATCTGGCTACAACTGGAAGAACCTTATCTATGCAAAATTCCATATAGTACATGGTCTTCAAACTATTTATTGCTGTCCTTTGTTGAAAATTCAATTAAATTTAGTAGCTGCTCACACATAATCCTATAAATACAAACTGAACTATTACCTTTGGCTACCTCAACTAATCTAACAATGCAAATGCTTAACCTGTGCCAGCATGTGCTCCATCTGTCCAGTTATATATAGGCCAAAACTCTGCCAGCCTGGCTATTGCATAGTTTACAGTTAGCAGACTGCAAGTCTGACAATTGCCGAGCTGTGCCGTTTGGCACAGCATTTGCAATGGGGACTTACCTAAATTTAATGTCACACTCTGTGGTTAGCTGGGCGCCCAGAAATGTGGATTCGTGTGGCTTTGTTAATTAATTGAAAAGCTACTCAATTTTGATGGGGAACATTGGTTAAGATATATAGATACATCAAAGATATACATCAAGAAATGTTGAAAGTTGTGTATTTAATTAGTTTGTCTATTATTATAATTATTGTTGTTTAGTTATGATATTTTGTAAAGAGTAGGATTGAGGGAAAGTTCAGTTTATAACTTAGGATAGATCGGATAGATTTGCGTCCATATCATACATTTTTCTATAAGACCTTTCAATCCGTCTGGTATTTAATATCTAAACAAGCACTAAGTGCGCAATGTCAGTTTGTCATTGAAAATGAATTCTATCAAGCCTGCAAATTTAATATTAGATATAATTGCTCATCAACAAGTAATAATTGACTGTTCAAACAAGTATAACTACATACGAAATGATGTGCTTATTATATAAAATTAAATAGTGGAAAAACACGTTCGAGCTTGAAATAATTTTGAAATTAATAAAAGCGGAAAAGCCAGTTGTAGTAGCTAGGGCAAGCTGTATTAAATCGTCAGCATTTCTATTATATAAACTTTCATCATAGATTCTTGGAGTTCTTGGAGTTTATATAATTTATAAAAATATTATTCCTAGTAATTGTTGATAAGCGACTGTTAACCTTAACAGCTTAACTGACAAGACATTAATCAGAGATTACATATGCAATATGATAACACTTATCTATCAAGCAAAAAACCAGGAATTACATAGAAACAATATGGCAAACTTTATAATTTAGGGAAATTAATTTTTAATAATATCCAATTTTTGTCAACAAATATATTTGCGTGCTTTGCCTTTTAGCTGAATATCAAATAAAAGTTTAAAGCATGTAAAGTTAATTGCATTTATATAATTTATAGCAACTATTGATGGGCGTATATATATAAAATATACCTTGCCTTTCCGTCAATATAATTGCCACGCATTTGTAATGAATTGCCTTGTAAACACATATCAATTTTATATTCATATTCCATGATGGATTTCGTATCGCACTCTCAATTATATAAGCATATATGGACGCTCAATGTTCAGCTAATTGAATTGGATTAACCGTTTTAATAACTGTAATTGCCGTTACTAATGACATGTCGTATCACATGGGCAACCTAATATTAAAAGCAGAACATGCAACAGTTTTGAATTGAGTGCAAAGTGAGGTAGAAAATAACGTATTGAGCAGGTAAAATACACTCAATGTAATTGAAGGAACAACTATTTATTTTTGCATGAGAGAAAATACTTTGTTGCAGTTGGTAAAGAAATCTGACAAAAGGCTTTCATACAGCTCAAATATATGCAAGTTTTTCAAAAGTTTTTCAACTGTGTAGAATATGAAGTTCTTATTTAACTTTGTCATAACTAAACTTTACTTCCAAATGTAAATATTATCAATATATTTAAAATAATATTGTTCAACATATTATTTCAATCAACAAAACAATTAACTTAGAAGCTTGCCGGCAAACCAATTTGAACTCTAAACTTGTCACAAACTGTTGATTAACACAGGCCCCATCCATAAACAACAATGTACAACAAAATGTTACACATACGCCCTGTGTGACAAAATAATAAAAATAAAAAACTGTAAAAATACACACAGAAAATAAAATAACTTCAAAACCGAAAGTCAAACACACAGCAAACAAAGCCAAAAGCAACAAAAAATGACAAGTGCAGTGGAAACTATTTTGTGTGCTCGGGTGTGTCCATACTTGTGTGTGTGAGTGTGTGAGTGGGTGTTGGTATGTGTGTGTGGACATGCTATAAACTATAAACAAAGGCAACAACAAAAACGATAACGTTTAAACAAAACAACGGCGCCCAGCACACCAAGCAAGCGAACTCACTCGAGCAGACAATGCCATGGGCATTTGAGTGCGAAACATGGCCGGCGCACAAGCACGTACACACACACGCACACAGACGCATCTAGAATATCACTCATACGCCAGCCAGGCCCGGCAAGACTAAATGAGTGGAAGCCGCATGTAAAAAACTGTGCTTGTGTGCGTGTGTATGCGAGCGCTGAACGCCGACCGTCGAGCGTTCGACGACCACTAAACCTAGCCGGCGCCTACTTCAAATGCTTCAGTTGACGCGCAACCCCTGAGTAAAACGCAACTCAAGCCCGAGGCCCCAAAGCCGGCGTTTCATTAATCAAAATAAATAAAACGCAGCGCATTCAATTAAATAGAACCGCGCGTATGCAAACGCGTCTTCAATTGGCGGCAACAAGTGCGACGAGTTGTGTTTAATAAATAAACAAGAATTTAGCTAAATTCAATTCAAAAATCAAACTAAAACTTCAAAAAGAATATCGAACAACAAAAAATATAGAGCAAAAAAAAAAATCAATCAAATCGTTTCTAGCAAAAGTCTGCGAAAAGGGCACGTTGCGCATACGCCGCGTGGGCGTTGAATAAAAATTCTTATATGCTTGCCACTTGAAACAATTTGGCCTTGTCGTGCTGATATTTACTGTGATTTCAGGCAACTTTTGCGAATTGTTTTTTTTTTATTGGCCAGCAGCAAGGAATCAAATTGTGCTACGTTTTGTGGTGGTGCGAAAACACAGACCGACATGTCATTCGATATTGCCATCGCAGATCAGATGCGCATTGCATTAAAGTAAGTGATTATTAGCCATATTCATAATTGAAAAATTGCAAATTGTCCATTTTCATTTCTATTTCTTTGTTTATACCTTAAAAGATTGTGCATCCAGCTTGAATAGCTTAATTCCTTTATTCATATTTAAGTTCAATCAATTCCAATAATAATCTAGGCCAAATTCAGTTTAGTTGCATGAGGTCGCGACAACGAATAAAATTTAAAATAAAACACAGATTAGTTTTATTTGGCATTAGAAACGTGTGAACTCTGTGACATTTGCGAGCGATGCATAAATAAATATTGCAATCAAATTGCCTTAATGACAATCTAAAGAATAGTTCAAATGTCGATTGATCTCTGACGTCTGTCCCTGCGCTCTGTGGCCCAGTAACATGAGCATAGCTTATCGCAAAGTCTTGAAAAAGTTGTCGAAATCTAGAAGCAGCTGCGTCAGAGCTTGAGAATGCTGCTTATCAATTGACAGATGCTGGGCCTATCGAGCACCCCGAATCCGGTTCACATACAGACAGGCTGGAGGTCTTATAAATAGCTGAGCATTGCATCCGCGTTGTCTGCACTTGCGATTCACCTTGCGGAACCGGGTGATCTTCGGCAGCTAATGATAAGATTGGAAATCTGTCTGGTTCCACTGTACTGTGAACTTTGTTCCCAGCACCGTCATAATGAGTACACATAATTTCAAAATGATTAACAGTCGGTTTTTAGGTAGGTAGGTACTTATTCAGTCTTTATCAGCTTAAAGGTTCTTGTTTATGTTTTTTCTTCTTCTCATAGTATTAATTATAAAATGTCAATATCAAATTTTCTGATAAGAGCCGCTCCTGTGGGCGCGTTTTATTGTTGATATTAGTTGAGTGTATGATTTTTTCGGTTTATTGTCCGGTTGCTTGAAACGCGTCAGTCTGATTTTTGTTTTTTTACGACACTTGGCTACATAAATCACACAGTTTAGTCGGCTTACCATGTGACATTGATAATTTCACTATCAGCTGCAATTTCAACCAATTAGTGTGAAATTGAGCAACTGTCAAATACACTGTCTAAGGGGCCAAAGTCAAGATCAACAGCTGTTGCGTTTTTGGATAGCTGCGAAAAGAACACGTTTGGTTGACTTCTGCAAATGTCAGGGCTATTATAAAATTGTTTTGTAAAAAATCTGTCAACTCTGCGAACTGTGTCACATCAGCAGCGGCAACGAATCGAAATGTCAACAATATTTTTGATCAAAGCCAACAAAAAGAAAAAAACAGGTCTTCTGCCAAGCATTTTTTTCTTGCCTGATTCAAGTCGTTTTGTGCAAGTCTTTTATGAAAATTTCTTGGAAGTAATGTTTTAGTGCCTACTTAATGAAGAACAATTATGATTAACACAGTGTGCGATTCTTAAATTTTGAAAAGTTCAAGGTGCAATTAAATATGGCATTTTAATGAAATCAACTCATTAAATTAAAATGTCTCAATTTAGTGCTCTTGTTTTTGTTATTCTTAATTATTTAATGAAGGTTTTTTGTTACTGTATTCTTTTATTATTTAATTATAACTGGAATTACATTTTGTATATATATTACAAATAGTCAAATTCCAAACGGATAATATTGCAATCGAATCAAGCAAAATAAATGTAAATGGTTAGCACAATTTTGTAAATTTAATATTTCTCCTTCCTTAAGTGCATTGTATATCGATTGTTCTTCGGCGCAATGAAATCCATCAATGGCTGCTTAAATTGCAATCGTTTTCATCTTTTGCATTTGCATTGCTTTACACATCGTTGCATGATTTTGATTAATGGGAACAATTTTCAGCAAATTTCTGGCAGCCAAAATAAAATGTGCTCTACCGAAATGCCATTGACCTACAACGTTGTTGCCGATTGATGAATTGAAATATTGATTGATTTTCGATGGGTTTCAGTTTGAATAGAACAATATTAAGTTTTAAATGAATTTTCCAATAATGATGATGTTTGAAAAAGCAAAACGAACTAATTAACAGATTAAAGCAGTAATAAGCTTGTTTGTAGTTATGTAAAAGGATATAATGGGTATGGCAGAGTGGCACCGGTTCCACAGCCACCTAAAAATTGAGATTTAATATATGTCAAATAGAATCTTTGAAAACATATATAATAACCTAACGTAACAAGAAGAGAGCTTAACAGTATAGAAACTGAACATAACATTATATACTATAGCTAAACTTAACATTGTGTACTATAACATAGCAAAACATAACATAACATTTTTATAACATAAAATAAAGTAACATAGCAAAACATAATAGAGCCTTACATAACCTAACATATCAAAGTTTCCTATAACATAACATAATTCACATAACATGATATAAAGTATAACAAAAGATAACATAACATAGACCGGTACAGAATATAACATTTTAAAACATAACATAACATAGCATAACATACCATATAACTGAACAAAACACAACTATAACATAACATAATTATATTTTTAACAGCCCTATTAAGTCACAAATCCTCTAAAACATAAATTATTCCCCCGCAAGGGCATTTATTTATATCAAAACTAACTGTTTACTCTGGTTAATAATTATAAATGTTCACACCATCGAAATGCAAAAGCGTTTACTTACTGCTGCTGTTGACATAACCTCTTCCGCCGATTAACTTATGTATACTATATTAGTTATATGCATATCTAATTAACATACTGTAAATTATTAATGTGGTTAGTTTTGTATGCAAAGTCAATGTCAGCGATTTGTTAGCGTTTCTTCGTGGTTCCATTCGGCATACAAATCGCTTCCACTTGTCTATGATAGACCCAGAAACAGATTCGGCCCGGTTGTGGGATATTGCGTCTCAAGTGCGACTTGATGTTTTGATTATTTCCAGACGACTTCAGAAACGCGAGCAATAATAAAAGCAATACATGAATATATATTTTAGCATATGAATACATTTAAGTTAACTGCTCACTGGAGAAACCAGTTCCATGTCAATATTCAACTAGCTCGGTTTTTTTATGTAGGCGAGTCTGACCTTGAACCTGGCGGATGTAATTAGCACACGATATATAAAAGTACTATAATTCACACCAAGTACTCATGAGAGATTTTAACTAGAATTATGAAAATACCTTCAAGGTTGTGCACTGCCAAACAAGAAGAAGAAGAAGTTCGCCAGCTGCTAATTAATTGCAGCTCGAACTACGCATAGTCTTTCGACTGATTTGTAGTCGTATGAATTGTTTGGGATCGTGTACAAATCGTATATATTTCTATATTGAGGCGCCTCGGTCTGCTGTGGATCGACTCACGCATCGTTTAGCTCGCACGTTTCTAATGGAAGCGCACTTGAAATATTAAATGGGGCAGCGCCGCGTCGTGCTGCCTCTATCCAATATTTATGCACGTAATACCCTGCTCTATTAAAAGGCTAGACTGGGTCTTGATTGTTTTATGGATCAACAGTTTTATTTCTGGAGTTAAATTGATAAGTCTTTTGTATTTTTCTTTGTGCTGATTAGAAAGCTTCCTTTTGTTCCTAACGCCAGTGAAGTGCCTTGATAAAAGATAGTGTCCGATTTTTTGATTTGTTTTTTCAATATAAAGCTAAAAGTATAATAAAAACACATTTATTTTAAGCTAAGTCGCGGATTCTTAGTTATTTTTATTCAATTAGCAGATTTAGATACTATAATATAATAGCTGTGATTGGATTGTTTTTAAATCTAAAGATGCATGCAGATATTTATACTAAGAATCTTAATTTAATATTAAGACCCTTAAAACCAACTCTCAGTTCAAATGAAATATATCAAAGAGCATTGTTTTGTGTATATATTTCGGTATAATAAAATTTGAATACATAGAAGGAATTTTGTCGGCTATAATCTAAATATATATATTTTAATTTATTTCATTTTATTATTGGAATTTGATTTGGTTTTATTTGAAATTTTCTGCAAATTTCCATGCATAGAAGAAAATTAAGTTAGTTGTTATATATTTTCATTTATACCTGTTGTTATTCTGTGTTATCTGTGTTATTTTTGTCTGAATTTAATCAGAATTTAATTTTTTTGTGTTTCGGTTTAGGTTTGGTCGTGCCAGAAAAGCAAATCATTTATAGATACTTTATGTTGACTGCCAAATATATATCATTAAATTTTGCCCAGACTCTAGGAACTGATTTATCGAAATGCCTATGAGCCTATAGTTTTCGCTCTAGTTGAGTGTTTTATATTTATAATTTCTATTAAATTCCTTTCCAGTTGTTCAGTAAGGCCCAACAAATTATAATTCGAACTTGTGCCATTTTTATGTTGTTTGTGTGACAAGGGGGGCAAAAAGTAGCTAAAAGCCCGCCCAAAGTGTCTGTTAAATGTTTACAAACAAAGCGCCTAGAATGTTTATCCAAACACTCGGCCAATTTGATTGGCTCGAAGTGCACTCACCTGTCTGCTGACTGGAATCGCATTAACAGCTCTCACCTTTGTTTTTTTTTTTTGTTATACTAATAGCTATGTCAAGTTCAAGACAAAGCAGCAGCGTTTGCGGAGCAACGATAAGGTTATTGCGGATACGATTTACGGCAAGGTGAAGGGGGTGAAGTGGCGTTCGATCTATGGCAACAACTACTGCAGCTTCGAGGGCATACCCTTTGCCAAGCCCCCTGTGGGGGAGTTGCGCTTTAAGGCGCCCGTCGAGCCGGATCGCTGGACGGAGGTGAAGCGTTGCACACGGGAGCGCACAAAGCCCTGCCAGGTGAATCTGGTGCTGAAGCAGGTGCAGGGCAGCGAGGATTGCCTGTACCTGAATGTATATACCAGAGAGGTGAGTTCTATATGGATATACATAATTGAATCTGCAACTTATTTTTGTATTGTCCGCTCGAGCGCAGCTGCATCCACAAAAGCCGCTGCCCGTGCTCGTCTGGATCTATGGCGGCGGCTTTCAAATGGGCGAAGCCTCGCGAGATCTCTACAGTCCCGATTACTTTATGATGGAGCATGTGGTGCTGGTGACCATCGCCTATCGCCTGGGCGTGCTGGGCTTTCTTACACTCGACGACGAGCAGCTGGATGTGCCCGGCAATGCGGGCCTCAAGGATCAGGTGATGGCTCTGCGCTGGGTCAAGCGCAATTGCCACTTTTTTGGCGGCGATCCGGATAACATAACTGTCTTTGGCGAGAGCGCTGGCGGCGCCTCCACGCACTACATGATGCTCACCGAGCAGACGCGGAATCTCTTTCACAAGGCTGTGCTCATGTCGGGCTCAGCGCTGTCGCCCTGGTCCATAACGCCCAAACATAACTGGGCATGTCGCCTGGCTCAGGCCACGGGCTTAACGGGTGAGCCGAATGACCGGGAGATTCTCAACCATTTGCGACACTGCAAGGCGAGCAGCATGCTGCGCATGGCCGAGGATATTATCACCATGGAGGAGCGGCATCAGCGCAAGGTAATGTTCTCCTTTGCGCCCACCGTAGAGCCATATGAGTCGGAGCATTGTGTGATACCCAAGCCGCCGCTGGAGATGATGCGCAACTGCTGGGGCAACGATATACCACTCGTGGTGGGTGGCAACTCCTTTGAGGGGCTGCTCGTCTTTCCCGAGGTGCGCAAATGGCCGGAGCTGCTGTGCGAACTCGGCGACTGTGAGTATCTGTCGCCCGAGGATGCCGGCCTGGATGCGGATCAGCGACGCGCCTTTGGCAAGCAGCTAAAGTCCACGTATTTTGGAGACAAACAGCCCAGTCAGAAGACAATACTCGAATACAGTGATGTAAGTATATAAGGAACATATTAATCATATACACAAAATTAACGGGCGGATTAAGAGAAAATTAAATGTATACATCATTCAAAATTTAAACAAAAAATATTAATTAAATTAAAAATTTAAATATACATATTTTCTCAGAGAAAAATATACCGAAATTGCAATAAAATATGCGAATACATAAATAGATTATAAAAATATATACGTCTTCCAAATTATAATAGAATTAAATTAAAAAATTAAATATATATATTTAAATATATATTACAAACTTGGAAAGACGTATATACGATAGATATATGAAAAATTAATTATATATATTATATTAAATTTAATAGTTATTTATATCTTATAAATATCTATTTGGGTAAAAAAATATATCATTATAGTTGGACAAAAATTTATTATATTTTAGGAAAGAAGATTGACAGAAAAACAAGATTATTTATTCCGGACAAGTAAATTGTATGTTAATTGTGCAGTAAACTAAATATAATTTAATGATAGTAGTTAATTTTTTTATTAAAAGATAAATAATTAGATAAGTTGACAAAATATCTATATGGATAACAAGTATGGGTGCATATGAATAAATAGATTCTTAATTAATAAATATGAAGAAATTCGTGAATCTTGAGTATAGACTATCTGTCTCTGATCAGCGGATAAATATATATATATAGTTGTTAGTAACATTTTGAGCATTTTGTATTTATATTATTATTTATTTAAATAACAAGAAAACAGAATTAGTAATAGAATAATAGAAAAAGATAGTTGTTTAAGCAATATAAGCATGGATATATGGAGAATTTTTCGAATCATCTAGTTATGTATACATATATATTTAGCCATTCATCCGAGTATAAATATATGGAGTATATGTCGAGCCATTTAGCTATATACATGTTATCCATACTCAGATGGACAGCTAAATATATATTTGTTTTCTATTACTAAAAATCCAAGGTTAGGCAGGAAGATATCAAGACATATAAGGAGAAAGATATGTATACACGGTTAAATAAATATTACTAAGAGCATATTATATAAATCGTTTATTTATATATTTAGTTCTATATACCTTGACATAAAGCGACATACCCTGATAATTATATAAAAATACTTATATGCAGCTCAATGTTAACTATTCCCCTCGTGCATAGATCGATAAATATAATTATAGAAAGACGCAAAGTTTAATTTAACTAGCATAAGCTTTAATCAAATGCTTTAATCGTTGCAGCTCTGCTCGTATAAATATTTCTGGCATGGCATACATCGGACGCTGCTGTCGAGGAGCCTGCACGCGCCCAGGTCGCCCACATATCTGTATCGGTTCGATTTCGACTCGAAGCATTTCAACATAATGCGAATTATTACCTGTGGCCGCAAGGTGCGCGGCACGTGCCACGCCGATGATTTATCGTATTTGTTTTACAATGCGGCAGCCAAAAAGCTGAAGCGCCGCACGGCCGAGTTCAAGACGATTAGACGTCTGGTGTCCATGCTGGTGCAGTTTGCCGCCACCGGCGATCCCAGCATACCCCTCGTCACGCACGAGGAGCCCAATGGGGAGGCGGCCCAGTCGCAGTCGCAGTCGCAGTCACAGTCGCAGTTACAGTCACAGGTCTGGCTGCCCATATCGCGGCAGGATGCGGTATTCAAGTGCTTGAATATTTCACATGATGTGCAGGTGATTGATTTGCCCGAGGCCGACAAGCTGCGGCTCTGGGACAGCATGTACGCCGACAAGCAACTATTGTACTAGACATATGGCTGCAGCCATCCCCCCCCCCCCCCCCCGCAACCAATGTACCCCCTGCCGCACTGTTATTTACCTATATAGCTTTAAGCGATGGCCCTCAGTTTGGCCCTAAATGCACAGCCACAACGCAAATCGGCGCTGGCATCAAATCTACATGTGTAAATAGAGGTTTTTTTTCTCTTGTTTTATAGCTAGGCTATTAAAAGTAAAGAAAAACACACGTACATACACATACAAACTCGAATGTGAGTGTGTAAATATTGAGCATATTTTTTAGAAAGACCTTTGGCTATTTATATTTTGATTGAATTAATCTTAAATGTGAACATAGTGTTAATATAAGTCGATTAAATATATAAAGGAATAAAAATCAATATTTAAGCTTTAAATTCACATATATTTTCGTACTCTCAAATTCACAATTCAACAAGGTAATTATACTATGTGAATATTTATATTTATAAGTTATGTTATTCAGCTGTTTCGTCAAATTTTTGTAATATTAGATTAAAGCATCTAGAAATAAAACATAGATTTACACATATTTTGTATCATTTTAATTTTTCATTGGCTTTCCAGAGATTGAACAAACCCTACGTAGCACTAAAGTGCCGCTAAGCCAACCAATTGGAAAAACCAACCGTAAAGTATGCTACGCGTTATGGTATTAAAAATTCCTAAAATTCTCAGACACCTGCACACAAATGCACACACACCGACACGTGCATTCAAGCTGTTTGAAAGCCAAAGCTCATATTTACCTGTTTCACATACACGCACATCCCAACTCAGCTTGGAAACAAAAATTCCACGTGTGTTAGGACGCTTCTGTGCTCTACGAAAATGCTTCAACATATTCCAGAGGAAAAAATTCAATTTAAAAAAATCAAAAAGGCAAATGGAAATAAATCAAAATAATTGCAAGATACATTTTGATTAAATCCGACTAAATTTGTTTTTATAAAATATATTTTGCTACAATTTTATTAAATACAAAAATTACACCGATCTAAAATAAATTTTTAAAAATTGTTTAAAAATATATTCAATTAAAATTCTTTCATTGTTGATTATAACATAATCAAGTATTTAAAGAATGAACAGGTCTTCTCCTCAATCGGTTACAAAGCTTGTAATAAACTGATGAAACCCTGTAAAATGTTAAATTATTGGCTCGTATTTTCGACTCTGAGCGCTTTAACCGAAACAACAACATTTTGTAATTTGTTTGTGCTACACGTTCTATGTGGTAACTTGAAGAGTCGTTTTGTCTGGCTTAAATACAAAACACAGGCCCCATCGGGCCCCGTCGCCCCAACGCGCCTGACATTGATTATAATTAACAACTTACACGTGCTTCACATTCACTAAGCTGCGTGACCTACACCAAAAATTCCACATAGTTCGTGTGAGTTACAGAATTTCTGTCGTTTATTTGCTTGTAATATTTTAATTATTATTAACAGTTGCTTTGTAAATTGCTTGAAATGTATTTAAATGTTGCCGCAATGGCGCCGACGCCACAGCGGAGCATCTTTTAGGCGCTGATTGAATTACAGATTTTGTTTAAAAGCTGCCGCCTGAAAGTATGCTGCAATTTTTTCGAGCTTTCTAGTAAATGTAGTAAGAGGTTTTTAAATGCAGGTTGCAGCATTTGTATGTTTATTTTACTCATGACAGCTAATTGCTGTACAATTTATGGGCAAAGAAAAACATTTTTTAAATATTACGATTTAGCTTTTAATTGAGTTGAGTAGGATATCGGTTTGTACTCTTTGAATGTAAACTACAAACTCTGCCAAAACTTAAGATTTAAGTAAAATATTTCCAAGATATATATGTAATCTATGCAGACAGCGATCTATGAGGAGAGCCAATGCAAAGGGCTAGTTTAGTTAAAGCCTTTACCCAGAGCCATCTGACCCCTCATGAAGTCAAGTTAAACATTCGCGCCTTTTGCCTGAACTATGAAAAAACCTTCTGAATTCTTAAAATCCCAGACAATAGTTTGATTTTTTTCTTTCTTTTTACATATTTCACGTGTGTGGGCGAAGCGGAAGATGGGTGAAACCAACACAAACGTGCAGCCAAAACACCAACAAAACAACATACATACATGCACCATTTCGCTGTGGCGCCGCTGCCGGAGGCACGAGGACGACGCATGTTGCCCATGTGCCATATTCGAGGCACGGAATGGCTGGGCAAAAGTCACGCGAGATTGTTGAACTCTCTGCAAATTATGATTGTGGGGGTTAGCAATTGCTATCCCTAAAGGGGGGCGTGGCGGGTGTACTTTTGATTTGATTTTGAAAAATTCATAAGTACAATGTTGAGACTTCGTCCCTCCCCCTCCAACTGGGCAACTGTCACGCTGTTTGCTGTCCGACAGCTGGCATTCACTCGGTCTTCTTATCATTTGGGTGGGACGTTCGGGACGTGTGTACGGATGGGGTGCATAACATTTAATTAGGAAGTGTTTGCCATAGAACTCATATTGTGTATTTGTGAGTATTTAAAGCGATTTTCAGAAGGAAACTTCTGATATATTTGGAATTTTGCTTGTCACAATTCGCATTAATTCTGCCTACTTAGGCTTAACGATTTTTGAAAGATTTAATCCATGTGGTTTATATGGCTGTGCATTTTTTGAGAAATACTTTATGGGATCTTTTGATGGAATCATTTTATAATTAACTAATTGTCTTGGTATTTAAAAATGTATTTGTTCAGTCCTGGAATTGCCTTACAAATATCTCAAGACGACTTATCCAGAAAAACAGTTTTTGCTCTAGTTAAACGAATTTAGTCAGTTTTAAAAAAGTTAAAAAATATCCAGTAAAGTTCTGCTGAAAATGTAATTTCATAGGAATGAGCTTGCCTTTATTTCCATCAGATTATTCAGAAAGCGAACTATTGAGTACAATATGGTTTAACTCAATCATTTCTATGCATAAATGAATAAGATTTTGTGTTAAATTTATTTTTTGAATTTGAATTTGCATTAAATTCAACTGAAAATATAATTTCCATTCTAGTTGAGAATATTCGAAAAAAAAACTGACGGGCAAAGTGCAAAGTTCATATAATTTTCATTCAATTCTGTACACAAAACCATAAAAATCATTTGGTCGGGACAAATAATTTCAAAGAAAGGGGAATTTGGATCTGTGATGCATAAACAGATGGCATAGATCAGGTAAAAAAAAAAAAAGACATAAAATAAAACCCAAGCAGAATTTATAAAAAGCACAGCGAAGCAAATGAAGAGCTTAATTTAATTAATCAAAATCATTTAGAATTTAACAATGTGCAAACTAAAGCCACAAATAGAAGCAAATTTTCAATTGATTTAAATGAATTAAACGCAATAATAATACAAAAAAAAAACGTGCCAAAAGTGCTGAGCACGAGATCGTAAAGAGTGCAGGAGAGCGGGAGAGCGTGAGAGCGCGCGAGTAATTCTGACAGCGCTTGATCAAGTTTTGTTGCGCTCTTGCAAAAGCTTCGCGAGCGACAGCTGCACAACATATGACAGCATAAGTCACGAGAGCTTATGTTTTAAGCAGCCGGCGGTTTTTATTTTTGCGGCGAGCATTGCCCAAGGTCACACATTTATCGTATAAGTGTATGAGAACAATGTGAGCGGCAGGTAGGGGTTGCTACCCCGGCGGGCGGACGAAATAACATTACTTTTATTAAGTTTAATCAACTTTGATTTGAGGCAGAGCGCGCGCATTGCGTGCGAATACAATATAAGGAGAGATTTTGCGATTAAGCGTGTTCCTCGGTTGCGTGCAGCCGACTAAGCAACGTTTACTAACGGCAACTGGCAATAACTACCTATAATTGCTTGGTCCGAGCAATCGGCTGACCCCATTTTGAAAATTAATACGTTCAAAAGCGCAGCACAGCGAAAGCTTAAGCGGAAGCTTTAAGCGTGGCAAAAGTTCGCGTGTGGCAACAACAGCAACAGGAGCTCATGGCCTAGTCCCTCAGTCAGCTGTTAAATCCTTCTTCGTGTGTGTGTGCACACTTGATTTGTTTACATTGCGCAAAAAGCTTGCGGCGCGTGCAGCTCCACAGCAAGCATAAAAAGCACATTCATGATATATGTACACATACATATGACTTCATTTTCACCAAATAATAAACCACTTTTGAGGTTAGACAGCATATCTTGAAAATCTTTGTAACGGCAAAATAAATATGATATTTGTACAACAGAAAAGCCTTAGATAAGATATAAAGTTGAATTTCAGGCATGTCATGGCAAGGTTGGCCGAAATAATTGATATAATTATGCCTTATAGCTATGAACTTTGCTCTAACGCATTTCAAAACGCCACATTGAGTTCCCGCGACTGGTATTCCCTGTAAAAGACATGATTCATTCGCGACCGGAATAACTGACGCCCAGTTGAGCAAACGTCGCCTTATCGATATGATTTATACATGTACATACATATGTATTTTTTTATGATTTTTTTCAGAAAGATTACAATGCGTGTCAGCAAATAAGCGAAATCACAGTTTGCAAAATCATTTTTCGGAGCACTTGACGTATGCATATACAGTAACAACAAAAAAATACTCATTAACATTTATCAATATTGATAAGGCGAGTACAATATGGCCCATTGATTGAGGCTTAACGATATCGTAATAGTGAATCATATATGATTCAATAGTAAATTACCTTTGCCACATGAAGCTGTAAGCCTATGCACCATCTGTTGTGATAAGATAAACACAGGATATAAGGGCTCGTGAGAGAAAGCTCAGCTCTAAATGCTTAATACTCAATGGGGAAGTCCCAAACGTTGATTATACCTAGCTACATGCTTAGTTTTGGCGCGCCATCTCTCTCTCTCTCTCTCTCTCTCGCTCTAGTTCGCTGTCTCTCTCTTAGCCCATGCATGGATTACAGCATGACTTTTAGTTCGCTTTAAAGCACCAAAGCGTCCACGCATAACAACAAGAACAGGTACTGAGATAATCAAGAAGAAGCATAAGCACGCACAGCAACAACCACAACAACAACAACAACACCAAGAGCAAGCAAGTCAGCAGCAGCTCGTTTCGCACACTCTTTATGCTCGACGGAGAGCTTTCGCATATGCCTTGTGCTTAGAACTTTAGCGTGGTGCTTTACCGTCGTCGTGTGCTTGCAAAACAGTTGATGAGCTGCCTTCAAGCCAAACGGACGTAGCACAAAGTGTAACTAAAGAGGCTAGATAGAAGCAACAGCTAGCTAATACAATATCAACAACAACAACAAAAGCCACAATAGCAACAAAAACAACAATAATACAATATAAACTAAACTATAATAGAATTTATTTAAATTCACGCTGCCTGGCAACAACAACGACAACAACAACAACAGCAACAGCAAAAATAACAACAACAGTTTTCGTGTAGTTCTCATTTCGCTTGAAAGCAAAAGTTATGTGATAAGCAAAAGATTCGGTGTGTGCGTGTGTGTGCTTTTTTCGCAGTGACAATATCCTGCGTGTGCTTGTGCGCGTGTGCTTATAGCTGCGCAGGACGTGCCAGCCGAAAGCTGCTTATCAGTGTAGTAGCTGTTGCTGCAGCAGCCTATCTTGTTTTTGGCAATCAGGCACAAGGTCAACAGCCCAACAGCTGGCGAAGGACCTAACAAAAACAAACAAACCACACAAAAGAAAAACACAACAAATCTTTTTGATAACAATCATTTTTATGGTGAAATTAAAACATAAATATAATAAAAAAAAGTATTTATTGATTTTTATATAAAAATATATATATACAATATATATATATTCTAAAAGCAAGAAAAACAAATTTTTAATAACAATTACATTTGACGAAGTCGCAGAAACTACAACAAAAAAATACACAACAAAATGTCTTCCATGGCTGCATTTGATCAAATCAAAATTGGACTCAAGTAAGCACGACAATAAAGCCCTATATATTTATATATATAGTTTAATGTATAAATAATAATAAATTATAGCTAAATGTACTTTGCGGAAAAATCTTGTACAGCTTGCAGCGATTTATTTGAATTGCATTTTGCCCAGCAGCTGATTAAAGTCGAGCTGATTCAGTTTGTATAGATCATTTAATCGATAGTCTCAGCTAGTCTGTTTTGGCATTTAATTAATGTCTAGTACTTGCCGTAATTTATAGACTTTAATGCACCTTAACTGTTTATTATGGTTGCCTTTTACAGTCAGTTGAATGACATCAGCGAATTGTGTCATCTATAAGAAACAATAAGATTTTACATATGGATAAAATATTCCAGAGTGTAAATGACAATGTTGCTTGTACAAAAGTTACCCTATACACAGTCTGCAGTGCAGAGTTAAAAAAGTTAACCACAAAAAACTTAAAGAAAATCGATATAATTCGTAGTTGCTGATAAATAATGTAGAAGTCTAATTGGGAATTGTTTTATATATGGAATTTGCCAGGATTAACGATAGTTCTTACAAAAAGTTACATCTTCTTATTATTCAAGGCTTACATACCAAGTTTATAGTCCTTAGCTCTTATAGACTCAGAGTTCGCCGAGATAAATATTATAAACAAACTATTTTGAATATAACCCCTTACATATTACAGGGTATTAAAAAGCTACCTACAGTCTACTAACCAAACAAGAGATATAATATATGCATCTAAAGTTTAATTTCAATAAAATGTCAAGAGAAATCAGCTTAATGAAAGCACTTATATACATATATATATGTGTATATATCTCTCAACTTATAGGTAGCGCCGTATATTGTATATATAGACACATATTTGCCCAGATAAGCGAGGCAAATATAACTCGAGCAAATCCCGTTGATCAAATATTTATATAGCTAACAAAAGCGCTTTTGTCTGCGCGGGCGTTTGTTAATTAAACGAATTTTTAAAGCAAATTGCAGCAATTTGTGTGTTGTTTGCCCCCAAGTCCTTTGGCGACTAAGGACCAAGCACACGTCGCCAGCCCAGTGCAAATGAGTTACATTGTGTGTGTCAGGCCTTAACGGCAATATGTTGACGCCAGGACCAACAATTTTCTGACAGCTCCTGCTAACTTCCGTCCATATTGTGCGCCATGCTCTACGCACGGTTCGCCCCGTTCCATTGATTCCCGGGCACTCTGTAATTTGTCTGCATAACGAGTAAACATAAACACGGCGAATGACAGCGCCAAGCGCACAGTGTCATTAGAGACGCCCATTGTCATTTTTTGGCCTTTTTTTTTCTTTGTTCTCTGTCTGTCTCTGTCGGCACTTAAACTACGCAAATAATTAGGTAGAGAACGGCTCTCAAAGCGTCCCGCGGCTGTGACATTAAAAAAAAAAAACAAAAAACAAAATGAGTGTGATCTAATTGAGCGTGTTTGACAAGCAGATACCCTGTACTCAGCTGTGCCCGGTTGGAGCGTACTTTCGAAGTGCCTTCTATGCGATTTTCACTTTAACCCATGAATAATGTATTCTTTAATAACTTCAACGTTCAATTTTCGTTTTACATACAATCTTTTGCACTTAAAGATATCATTGAAATGCGTGTATATAGCAAAAATATTATAAACTGGACAAAGATATTTGATCATTTCGTTATCGATTACATTTGTTCGAGTTATCGATTGTTTATTATATAATTAAAATGTAGTTTGCTTTTGAGTCTAATGAAGTTAGTTAACAATACATACTTCCTACTCAGATATCCCACTAATATATAATATAACGCCATCAACCCCTTTCCTTGGGTATAGGGTATGAGAAAACTATAGAAACAGCAACCTATTTATGTAAATTTTGCCTATTGTACAAAAACTCAAGCTGAGTCATTTGTGTCATAGCGAAATGTTTGAGAGAACGGGCAAAGAGATTGTGCCATGAGATCAGCAGCAGAGCAACAGGTTTGCTTGCCAAACCATAAAAGCAACTAATTTGATAATGTTGCTGCCTACATCAAATGGGCAAGTTCTGGCGTGTGGAGCTCCATAACCCGTAAGCTCTATTAAAAGCGAAACCCTAAATACCCTTTTAGTTCTCGCATAGCACAACACAGAAGTTCTACATTGTGAAGCCTCACTGTATGCCCTAAGGAGCGGACACATAACTGTAGTAGGCTTGGTAATAATTAATAATTGCTCATTTCTGGAGGGGACTCACAAAAGCTCACAGAAATTGAATTTGAGCTTTCTCGCTCGCTTGAAATCATCAAACTATTTTTGTACCAATAGAGTGGACCAAAAGAGCTCGTCAATTTGTAACTCGCTTGGAATTCCCAAAGAGTTTTGGCAGCTACAGCCATTTGTAGTTAAAGGTACCTCACATAATCGATTGCAATGATATTACAATCAACTGTTTCATTGATAGAAAGCCCTTAATTGCCATTTTCAGTTTGCATATTTATAGAGAAATTTATTAATTTTCATTTTAATAGCCTATTTTTTTTTTGGTTTGTGTTTTTAATAAGCTGTATTTGCATGGGAGACATTTTTAGCAAAATATATATAAATTCATGTTTTAATTAAGCCATTTTTTTTCATTCCATTTTTACTTTGTGGCCATGTGCAACATTTCGATGCAACTTGCGGCCAGCCGTATTTTATTTCGCGGAACAATTTGCATATTCATTGTTTGGCTGTGATTTATTCCATGGCATTTGAGCCGGGCAACCGGGCAACCGGGCAACCCACTCGTCATTTATATTCATAAAGCATTTAATAAATTCTCGATAAAGTTCAGCAGTAAAACTTCAAATTGTCAATTTATTTGCTACGCAATATTGACGTATTTTTAGCCATTGTTTAATTTGATCAATTGCTCTCGTAATTGAATAAAACATATATATTTATCGTATATATCTGGCTATACATCACTTACGCCCATTAACCTTCATCTTTGTTGCATTTCTCACACGATTCTCGGCGCACGTGTGGCATTTGACCAAATTGAATTAAACATTTTGCAGCTCAGCAATTAAACTGATCAAAAATTGGCCTTCGTCAAACAAAATTTGATGCAACGCAAAGCATTGCGCTGTGCGCGTCTCTTTGTAGTCTGCTAATTTCATTGCTTCAATATCATTTTTTTGTTTTCTTTTCTGATTTTATTCATTCTAAACGTTAAATAAACACAAATTTCCTCATATTTGCGCTGGGTGCCAAATATTGTATCTGTTGTCTTTTCTCATTTCGGGAGCTATTCGACATTGCTCATACGCCGCGTGTTGCGTTCCGCAGCAACACTTTTCGTGCATTTGTCGCTGTCGCTCTTGCTCAGCTCGAGCTGGTCGCCCACACTACTCAGCCACACACACACACACACACACACACATACACAGCTTTACACATCTGTATCTGTCTATACACATGTATCTGTGAGCTCGTCAATTTCATTTAATTTTGTCGCGTTTTGTATGTCTCTTTTTCCGTGAGTCTTTTATGGCGAGCAAAAAATTAGTTGCCACAGCAGCAACGGCAGCATTTTATATAAGCCTATTATGTGTGTGTATAATAATCTCTTTTCTATTGAATTGTATATATATGTGTGTGTATATATGCGTATATTTAAGAGGCTATTTCTTTGGCTAACACGTGAATTAATATGAAGGAAACATAAAACCATAAATTAAAACTTAGAAATTGTTATTTGAATTGCATTTTCAAATATTTAATTAATTAATAAAAGCAACACAAAATCCAATTGCACACAATTTTGATTTATTTAATATTTACAAAATTGAATCAGCAACAAACATTAAACAAACACAATTAAACAATTAGAAATCAAATAATTGTTTCAATATTAGTTTTAATTTCAACTAGCTTGCCTTAGGGCCTATAATTTATATAAAATATATGTATTTAATATAATATTGACAAAGTGCAGATCTATTAAGCTAAATTGTAGCTATTTTTTGGCTAGCTTTATGTGCATTGCGGCTGCCTTTTCATATTAATTGGATTGTGAAACATTATATAAAATAAAATAATTCAATTAAACCTTTGTCCTCAATATTTGTTTTAACCAAGTGCCGTGAAATTGCCGTTAGTCATATACTAAATATTTAGGCGGTAGACACTCCTTGACCTCCTTGGCTGACATCAGAGTTGGAAAAAAAAATCCGAGCGAGCAAGTAACGCTTACCTTGTGTTTTAGTTTTATCCTTGCGCCACTTGCGAGCTTTTATTCCATAGGGGCAGCAGGGGCTGTGTGCCTGCGATTCATTCATAAGCAGCGCCAGGCGAAAAAAGCTCGCGCGTGTAAGCTTTCGCCTTGGCTGCCTTGCGTGTCAAGGTCAACAGGACCTCTGCCGCTGACAGAGTGCTTATGAGCAGCAGAATGGACACAAGCTAAAAACTAAACAAATAGTGTCCAAAGTTTTTCCTTGTTACGGAAATTATGCGACTGCGCTGATGTGGGTTCGCTTTTTACTTTTTTATATACAAATTTTGCTGCCGGTCTGATATTTTTTGTTGTGATGATGATTATAGCGTGATTTTTAATGGTACTCGGCTTTTGACGAGTTTGCCTTTTGCTGTTTAGCTTGTCGGCGCACATGCCTGATAAGTGAGGTGTGCGGCGGGCTGATGAATGGATGTGGCCTGACAGCCAGCCGACTGACTCGTCAGAGTATGGACAATTAATGCAATTATTACGACATATTCTGTTGCATGACGGCGCTTATCACTAGGGGCCAGACAGTGAGAAAGTCAGAGATAGAGAGTGCCAGAGATTACAACGATTTTATTTGTTACAGTTGCTGTTAGAACTAGCGAGCAAAGGTGCTATTGTCTGTGCTGTTCAGGTTCAATGTGGTTCAATGACACAAGCTGAAATTACTCACTTAAGCATGGGAACAAAATTAACAATGAAAGCAACTGTTCAGACTGAGAGTCAACCACGGCAACTTAATGTGCACTTGAACTTTTTAATGGTTCCGTGAGATTAGTTCAAAGTGACACTTAAGTCGAAGTACTATAGAAAACTCTTCACAGTTAGCAAAGTCGAGCTTTAAGATTTGATTGAATTTATTTGCGTGTACTTGTGGAGCTTTAGGCCTTATTAAGTGAATTGACTGCGCCTATTTGTGCTTTCAAGCTGGTTCTACTCTAAAATTGTTGTGTCAAATACAATTGATATTGCTTAAAGCTTCTAGTTGTGCTTTAATTGCTTTTTGAAAATATGTTGTAAGCAGCTTAACTTTGATTTTGACTATTTCAATGCTACTAGTCCTTTCAACTACAAGTAGTTAATCCCATTTAAAACAATTCCGAATTTCCGAATTTCCATGTGTACTTTAAATCGATTATTGCACAATTTTGTAACAAACTGCAACCAGAATAAAAATATATACTAAAGCAATTTTGAATATCTACGTTCCGTTGTCCTCGCTTCGCCCTGCTCGATTACTACTTTTTGCGCTGATCTCCTTGGGATAAAATGATGGCAATGCGTATGAATATATTCAGGGCGTCCATATAAATGGCAAGTGCATTGTTGATTGGATCGTAGCGGACATATCCGTGCTCCGGATAGCTTTCAGCTGCCTTAACAATGCGCTGCGTGTCGTGAAGCAGGAAAGCGCTAAACAGGATCAGGCCGCCGTATAGGGATATGGAGGCCAGGCCGGCGCCGAGAGCTGTGGTCGGCGGCAGCCACATGGATGCCAGCGATGAGGCAAAAATGACGCCCAGGCCAATGGCCAAGGGGCCACCGATATGCAGGAATCTGTCGCTGGGCGCACATGCGGCCACCGTGGAGAGAGCGCCCACAATGCCGCCCGTGTAGAGCAGAGCTCGCACCAATATCGGACCACCCAGAAAGCACATGGGCGCCACAACAGCTCCCATGACGGCGCAATGCAATGCCCAGGCCAATTGTTTCATGCCCAGGCCCGGCTCATATTCCAGCGCTTGCGTCAATGCGCCCGTGCCCATGACCAGACCCATTGTCACCAGTGTAGCCATCCAGCCGCTGCGCATGATCAGCTGCAACAGCTGCTCCGATTGAAAGACAGTGGCTGCCGATGCCGCCGTGACGGCACAGGAGGCGCCGAAGTAGGCATAGGTGGCGTGTATGCGATCTCTTACGTACTGCGGCCACATGACCGAATGATCGTAGATGCTCGGCTGATTGGCCAGGCCTAGGCCGTAATAGCAGAGCCCGACGAGACCCATGAGTGCCGCGCCCGCCGCTGCGCCCTTGCCCATGGAGTAGGCGTTCTCGCTGGGCGGACCCATCATGCGCTCCTTGAGCGTCGGTCCCTTTGTGCGCTGCTCCAAGTGGGATCGATTGCGATTATCCGGCTCCTCGGAAAAGTTACGCCTCATATTCGGACGCATTGCTTGCAGCAGCGATTTCTGTTGCTTGGCTGGCGCAACTCTCATTGGGCTGGGTCTGCCTCTGGGCGCCTGCAGCGTTGACTTCCATAGTCCTTGGCCGCCGTTGATGGGCGCCTTGGACAGCAGCCGTGTCGAACGCGCTGGCAGGACATGCGCCAAACGTGCCAAAAGCATTTCAATAGGATTTTGAATATAGATATCGCTTTGTTCGCTTTAAGAATTTCCCTGAATTTATATTTTTTCGATTTAAATCACAATGTACCTATTGGCCGGCTGTCGAAAATTGTTTTCAAATATTTGTTTTTTGAAGAGAGAGTCAAATGTGAAATGCTCAATCTAGCTGTGGGATTAAAAAAAATAAAAAAATAAATAAATATATATCTCTGATGACTGACTGATTTTCTGATTTTTTGGCGAAGTTTTAAGTTGTGTCCGACTTGTGTCAAACTTATTTTCAAAGCTCTACATAAGAACTTAATAAATACGTATTTCAGCGATTTGGGAAATTCCACCCGCAACAGTGGTAAATTGGCGGAAAACGTTTGTATGAAAGTTGTTTGTTAACCGTCCGATCAGTTTCAAAATCATTTTCAAAGCTTTTTGAGAACATTTATTTTATAACATACGTGCCACGGAAGTACATATATATATGTTATTTATGCATGTATCTAAAGTATATACCAAATACTTCTTACAATATTTATTTACAAATTAACCAAATATCATTATTAAATATTAATATATAAAATTTGAATCAACTTAAGATTTATGTGCTAAATGCATGGAAAATGTAATTTAGTTTTTATTTATAATATGTTCTTTTGTATCAGGGTAATTTTAAAATACTGAAAAATTAAGCATATCTTTTGCAGGCCGAAGATTTAATACCCTTTTGCAGATATGTGAGAGTAGTGAAGCTCGTAATTGCTGTGTTTGATGAAAATATCTATGCCCTATTGTATAATATATATGCCCTATTAGAATCTACTTTTCGACTGATCTTATTTTACCTTTCCAATGGCCGCCTTTTTTTTTTTAATTTCATTATATGTTTTATTTTTGCGCTTCTTATCGCTACCAAACAAATAACTAAGGAAATGCTGTATATACTATTATGTAACTTATATGATATTTACAACGAAGCTATTTACAATGATGGGGAAGGAGATGTTTAAGTAATACGCCTCGTAGGTAGATCTTTTGTTTTGTAACCTTCGGAGGCGCCTCTCTCTGATGGGATCAGCCAGGTCGGGTTTAAATCTATATAGCTATAGCTATACCATAAAGTGGCCCGATGTTGTTTTCCATATATATGAGTTTTAAGTTCAGAATTTGTGCCAAAGTTTATATGAAAAAGGTTTCCATACCAGTACCTACTTTTCGGACCTATGCAAAGATTCAAGATGATAGCTCTGAAACTGAGAGAGATTAGTTCGCATAGAAACAGACGGACGGACGGAAGGACGGACGGACAGACGGCTATGGCTATATCAACTCGGCAGTTGATGCTAATCTAGAATATGTACACTTTATGGGGTCGGAACTACAAAGCTATTAAATTAATACAAATTTGAAAACTAACTAGAAAAAAACTTTATTTATAATTGTATTTTCAGATAGTTATCAAAAGAAAAATACAAATTCTATTTAATATATATCATAAACGACCAACTTCCAGCTATAAGCAACGTTTTCCACTAATTTAAATAAATTATATTTGTCCCTCATAATGCGACAATCTCTTGGGGCTCTTTATTCGATTTGACTGCAAACTAGTTTCAGTTGACCAAGTCGGAAATTCCTTCAAGTTTTTGGCAAATGTCAGCAATTGTGTGATACAAATAAACTGTTTTTGAGTGTATATATGAGCCAAAGGAATGCCAGAATTGCAGAAATCACAAATTTTGCACACACAAACAAATATTCGAGCACAAATCCGAACTCGAATATGAACTGGTCGTCCACTTGTCTGACGGTCCATGCGATGCCTTTTGCTTATTTGCCTTTTAATTGCCAGTTGTTTTTTTATTTTTCATTGCTGTCGTCAGAGAAAGAGCAACAAGACTTTGTTTATTTTTGCTTATTTGGAAATTTTATTTTCGTACGCAAAGCTCTAGAATTTTGTGCGAACACGTAAATCAGAGGCGAAATTTGAATTGAATGAAACGTACATTTTCCACATAGATCATGTCCCCTTAAGATACGTTAAAATTGGCCGAATAGAGCGCAGAATTGGCTGCATTTAATTAGCTGCACATAACAATTTGTAGAACGCACAAATTTATGGCTACGAAATATCCCCAATTTCGGGGTGTGTCCCTCGTTGCCACACGCAATGTACTTTTTTTTTATGACACGCGCCCCGTCATGAACATTTTTGATATTGACCTTTCTTTTTATGGGACGCTGCTGGGCATTCGGCTGGCTTTTCACGCAATATTTCTATGGCAAAGTTCAGGGCCAACGCTGCGATAGTCAAAAACTCACAAATCTATATATGCCATATATGATAGCCGAAAAAAAAATAACACACCAACAAAATATACAACAGCTCGACGGGCTATTAATAAGCATAAATATGACATATTTTTGCCGCTTTTGCTGACATGCGAAAAAAACTAAACTGAATAAAATAAAAAATCACGAGGAAACAACAGCAAGAAACATGCGTAGGTTTTTGTTGCTTTATAGCGCCGAATACCTAAGATTTGCTTTAAAATTATAGCACGTTTCATTTGATGGCCAAATGCAGTCAAACCTGTAAAATCCTATGTCTACAAACATTTGTAGACAAGACAGTTGAGGTGAACACATAAGATACTTCTTGTAAGCCAAAAGCTTGACTTTCAGCCAGAAGGAACAGAGAGAGAAAAGTATATTGAATTATGCGCACTTATGCGATAGCCTTGAAATCTATTAATAAAAGATTTGTAGTATTTGGTATAAATATTTAGATATATATTGCAAGAGTTGAAAATATTGTCAACTATTTCTAAATATTGTCTATAATGTCTATTGATCATTTCATAACCTTGTAGAGTGTATTAGAGTGTGTATGAAATGTGTTACGCATGGAAGGAGACATCTCCGACTCCATAAAGCATATATATATTCCAGATCAGCATCAACATCCTAGTTAATATAGCCAAGTCCGACTGTCCGTCTTTGCTGTTGCAGGCAGTTCATCAGTCGGAACTGGCCGGATCGGACCACTATATATCGTATAGCTGACTTAGGGACGATCGGTCGCAAAGTAGGTTTCGGTATGGAAAACTTTTGTATTTATAAAGATATCGTGAATTATTTGTTCCACTGTGCTCTTCATATATATGCAAATTCTTTTCAACATCAGACAACTATATCATAAAGCTGCGATCATATGGGAACGGTCGGTCGAAGAGTAGGTTCTTGTACGGCAATATATTATGGTTTCCAAGATATTAACATCATATTCAGCATTTGCGAGCAAACGTCTAGAAAGAGCATCAAATCTTCTGCATGCCGCAATTCACTTTCCATTTATTTAATTTTTATTTTACTTAAATTAAATTTACACGTGATGCTATACAATAAAAAAAAAAAAAATAGTTCTTTGATCTCATGATTTGGAATTTATTAGTTAGTTAATTTCACGGCTTGAAGTTTTTCAAATACGAAATTAAATATTTTTTAAAAAGTATGTAACAATAAATTAAGAATTGCAGAAGATGTGTAGTTGCCACTTAAAAGATAATGAAAAATAAATAAATTTACATTGAAAATATTTGAAAACATATTTTTTTGATAATATTTTAATATATCCACATGCCCAGACTTATTGTTAAATGTAAAATTTTTATGGCTACTTTAGGCCAAACAAATTTGAATTGTTTATATTTTCAAATAACTAAATTCCCAGACTTTTTTTTGTACAATGTAACCTTTTTACGGCTACTTAAAGTCAAATAAAAAAGGGAAAATATTTGAAAACAAATTTTGTTGTTAATATTTTAATATAACTGCATTCCCAGACTTTTTTTTTCAATATTTTGTAATAAACTGCACCAAAAATTCAAGTGACTGAAATATATTGTTTTTAATGCATTTTATCTGAATCAAATCTGAAGAGTATGGATGAAAAACGTGCGTCTTATATTTTGTTTATCATCAAATGCAAAGCAGCAACAATTTGTTTTGGTAAGACGTTAAAATGTGAACAAACTAAAAAAAAAAGATTTATAAACAAGCAAATGGAAACACAATTTATTGTTTTTCGCTTTGTTAAGAGTCGGGCGACGCGTCTCAATTCTTGGGGCTGCGGCTGATAAATCGCAAACACCTGGCTCGCGACGCGGTGCTGATAAGGAATTGGCTTTATCACTGGCCGTGTCCATACATATACATATATGCATTAGCTGAACAAGGGAAAGACGGCCCATCAATAAAAGCATAGATACCGGAAATCACATCGATCATTTTGACTGATTAATGGCGAACGGAGTCTAAAGTACAACAGGAAAGCCCACACTTAGATAAAAGATATATACCCTGTTTTTAAAAATGCCTGATTGGAATTTGAATAAAATCTCGGAATTATATAATACAAGGCTGCAAGGCTACAGTCGTATATAAAATAGACCCTCCAAATCCAGAGTTTAATTAAATCATGGATTGTAAGGCTTATAGACTTAAGAGTTTAAGTGCTGCAGATTCATACCCTGTAAATAAAGTGCTCAATGGGGAGCATTAAGGTTTTAGACTAAAGCTAAAATGCGATAGGAACTTGAAGTCAGCCTTTTGGTATACCCTGTAAATCAAGAGTTTTCAAATAATAATTCTTCTATTCTGTAAATTGATCCCAATGTAAACTGTTAATTGCAAATCTCTAATACTTTCTCTTCACTTTCTCCCTCGCTCTTGCAGAATGGTCGACTTCAAGGTGCAACAGCGTCGTTATCGTACCAGTGAAAAGACTGTCGTCAGCACCACCTACGGCCCCATTAAGGGGGTCAAACGCAAGTCCATCTATGGCCAATCGTATTTCAGTTTCGAGCGTATACCCTTTGCCCAGCCACCCGTCGGGGAGCTGCGCTATAGGGCGCCACAGCCGCCAGAAATATGGACTGAGGTCAAGAGCTGCACATCACAGGGTCCAAAGCCGCTTCAGAAGCATTTTGTATTCGAGATGACAGACGGTTCCGAGGACTGTCTCTATCTCAATGTGTATACTAAGAATGTAAGTGAAAATGAAGCGATAAACTCACCTGTTCACAAAACTAAACCATATAATATATATGTATATAACTTTTATCGCACAGTTATATCCCACTAAACCAATGCCGGTCATGGTCTGGATCTATGGCGGCGGCTTTCAGTTTGGCGAGGCCTCACGCGAATGCTACAGTCCGGACTATTTGCTGCGCGAGGATGTGGTCGTAATATCCATTAATTATCGCCTGGGTCCACTGGGTGTGTACACAAATCGAATGCTGTATGAAATATATAAAACCTAATTGATAATTTCTTTGTGGCGTTAGGCTTCTTGTGCCTGGAGGATCCCGAGTTTGATGTGCCCGGCAATGCGGGTCTCAAGGATCAGGTCTTGGCCCTGCGCTGGGTGAAGGCCAACTGCTCGAGATTTGGCGGCGACTCGAATAATATAACAATTTTTGGTGATAGCGCGGGCAGCGCTTCAGTGCACTACATGATGATAACTGAGCAGACGCGTGGCCTCTTCCACAAGGCCATCTGCATGTCGGGGAATACCCTTTCGCCCTGGGCCGTAACGCCGCAGCGCAATTGGCCCTATCGACTGGCCGTGCAGGCGGGCTATACGGGCGAGGCAACGGAGCGTGACGTTTGGGAATTCCTGAAGAATGCCAAAGGCTCTGATATAATCAAGGCTAATGGCGAGCTATGCATCGACGAGGAGAAAAAGGAGCGCATTGGCTTCTCCTTTGGCCCCGTCATCGAACCCTACGAGACCAGCCACTGTGTGGTGCCCACCAAGCCCATCATCATGATGCGCACTGCCTGGAGCAACAGTATACCCCTCATCCTGGGCGGCGTTTCCAACGAGGGTCTGTTGCTCTACTCCGAAACCAAGTCGAATCCCAAGTGTCTCAACGAGCTCGGCGACTGTCGCTACGTCGTGCCCATGGAGCTCAATATGGATCGGGATAGCGAACTGTGCAAGGACTATGGCGAGCAGCTGCGTCAGTGCTACTATGGCGATAAGACGCCCAGTCTGGACACGCTTCACGAGTATCTGCAGGTATGTGGTAATTAGATAACAAAGATAATACATATCAGTTATCTTTGAAGTGGTTCAGATTAATTACAGTCTGGCACGTGTGCGATACTGTATTCGGATCTCAAAGAGCATCTTATCACAGATCACAGAAAGCTATCTAATGTTTATTTTTAAACAAAAAACTACTATGTGATTGATTGTGAAGTGAAGAAGACAGTTTACTCAGAATTTTGAAGTATCACATTTCTCAACCGTTTCCCAAAGGTTTTTTTGATGCTGAGTATTTTATTGTGAAATGATAACATTTGTCAAAATTGCTAATGAGAGCTCCAAAAAAGTGTTTCATGCAGGAAGCATATTTTAATCGGAGCTATATGATAAGCCGTAACGATATTGATAAGATATAGTCAAATAAAATTAAACGCAATAAAATTCTTTATTGCTGCTTCTGAGGAGAACGCCTTTTAGAAGATAGTTATTGATCGCTCTTCAGAAAATCACAAATTACGACTGATAGTGCCTATGGCAGCTATATAATATAATGATATTATCCGGCTATTCGCTATATATAGTATTTCCAGCAGCATAACCTAGTTCATATAGAACTTCCCAGCGTAAAAAGAATAATTTAATATTTGTATACCCTGAACCCATTGAAAATGGGTAAGGAGGGTATATTGTATTTGTGCAAATGTATGTAACAGGCAGAAGGAAGCATCTCCGACCCCATAAAGTATATATATTCTTGATCAGCATCAACAGCCGAGTCGATCTAGCCATGTCCGTCTGTCTGTCCGTCCGTCTGTTTGTCCGTCTTTCCGTATGTATGAACGCAAGGATCTCAGAACCTATAAGAGCTAGAGACTTGAGACTGTAGGTCCTCTTAGTCCCCGCACAGATCGAGTTTGTTTCCGATATTCGATAACTTGCCCCGTTTCCAAGTAATCGATAAAAATCGAATTTGAAATCCTGTTTTTTGGGCAATTTCGGTAAATAATATGGGCTAGAGTCACCAAACTTGACATGTAGCTTCTAGAATAGTATATATATATCATGTATCTTTCATTTTATACCTATCGCCTGTTGGTTCAGGGTATCCCCTAGTCGGGAGCTCCCGACTAGAACCTCTTACTTGTCTGTTACTGGTATTGTAACTAGATATTTAGTGAGATTGTACTGCTCTCTAAGAGATGAAAGCACATTCACTAATCTTTAACTTGTTCTCTCTGCTTTCCAGATGGTCTCGCACGAGTACTTCTGGTTCCCCATTTATCGGACAGTATTGTCGCGCTTGGAGCACGCGTCGAGCGCACCCACCTATTTGTATCGCTTCGATTTCGACTCGAAGCACTTTAATCATCTGCGGATACTCAGCTGCGGCAAGAAGGTGCGTGGCACCTGCCACGGCGACGATTTGTCGTATCTGTTTTACAATTCGCTGGCGCGCAAACTGAAGATTCATACGCGGGAATACAAGTGCATCGAGCGCTTGGTCGGCTTGTGGACACATTTTGCCGCATTTGGCAATCCCAATTATGATCCCGAGCAGTCGGAGCTGTGGGAGCCCGTGTCGGCCAGTGCAATTGAGAAGCATCAGCTGAAGTGCCTTAATATATCCGATGATCTGAAGATAATCGATGTGCCCGAGCTGCGCAAATTGATGGTCTGGGAGAGTTTCTTTAAGCGTGACGAGCTGCTGTGAACAAGGCTGTGCTGTGAGGGGATTGGGGGCCTCTACTTAGCATTAGCATTAGCTTTATGTTGAAAACAATGCAAAGCGTAGCTTTGAAGTCTAGAAAAAACCATCTATATATGTATGTGCTGTTAAGTTTGTCCAAAAACGAAATTCTATTTAAGCCTGTTCAAGTTTGATCCCAGTCTCCAATGTCTATAGATCGCTGTTAGATTCAGATGCTAATTATTATGATTGAGGTTAGTTCTAGAGAATGATATAAGTCGCAACTGAAGTACCTTTTGAAACGGCTTAACTTATCCGTACGGCCAATGAATGCGCATAAGAGAAATGTTCCTTACTTATATCAAGCATATATTTCCTTTATATATATGCAAAAGGCTGTCAAAGCGCCCTAACACTATGATTTTTCTTGTATTATATGGCGTTCGATTCTCTTCCGTGCACAAAAAAAATGAAAAACTAACTCACCCATATAATAATATTTTTTATATATTATATTATTTTTGGAATACAAAAAACAACAACTCACCTATATAATAATATTTTTTATATATATTATTATGTTTGAATATGTAAACCTTTTATAATAATCTAATTTTTGAATGTGTATTTGTTCTTTTTGTAGTATACAATTTACCAACCAGTCCAAGTTTTACATATTTAGGAATATGATTCTTGTTTACATATAATAATATATGTTTAATTATATATATATTTACATAGGACTTGAATTTGAATTTAAATGTGTCTGTTGACTCAAAAAACACCTTGAAATGTTTTTCGAAATGCACAAAAGAAATGCCAATCTGAAATCTTTGGAATTGGCTTTTTTTTTTTGTATAGATACCACATAGAGCATTCTAAGACGAGCTCGATAAATTGAATTTTCTATAAGCTTCAAATATATTGTGATGCCACAAATAAAAAACTAAGAAATTTGAAAACCCATATTTTAATAAGAAAATCAAACAAATGAAAAACAAAACCAACTGAATGTATTTCAAATAAAACAAATCATTTATTTATAATATCTTGAATGTTGAAAGTTGAATTTCTTCTCAGCCAAAGTTGTCAAAAAAAAAAAAACGAAATATGACAAAGTACGTAATTGCTCTAAAAAAACTGAAAGTTGTCTCCGCGCATTCCTCTGGCATCTACACGAACTACGACCATGTACAGAAGTAAGTATCATAGCACATTGATTGACGTAATAGAACTGTTGTCTTTTTTTATACCCTGAACCCATTGAAAATGGGTAAAGAGGGTATATTGTATTTGTGCAAATGTATGTAACAGGCAGAAGGAAGCATCTCCGACCCCATAAAGCATATATATTCTTGATCAGCATCAACAGCCGAGTCGATCTAGCCATGTCCGTCTGTCCGTCCGTCTGTCCGTATGTATGACCGCAAGGATCTCAGAACCTATAAGAGCAGAGACTTGAAATTTTAGCTGTAGGTCCTCCTAGTGCCCGGGCAGATCGAGCTTGTTTTCGATATTCGATAACTTGCTCCGTTTCCAAGTAATCGAAATCCTGTTTTTTGGGCAATTTCGGTAAATAATATGAGCTAGAGTCACCAAACTTGACATGTAGGTTCTAGAATAGTATTTATATATCAGGTATCTTTCATTTTATACCTATCGCCTGTTGGAGGAACAGGGTTCAGGGTATCCCCTAGTCGGGAGCTCTCGACTAGAACCTCTTACTTGTTTTATTTTGTGGTTCTGCTACTGCAGCGCTTATCGCCCAACTGAATCTGAATCAGAAACGCGTCTGGCTTGCGATTTTGCTTCTCTTTCTGCACTTCTCTTCTCTTTTATTAGCTTAAACAAACCACGCGTATCAGCTCAATGTCTACTCTGGCGTTCGGCAAAACAAACTTGAGATAAATCCCATAAAATCATAAAATATAAAGAACCATTAAAAACAATCACAAGTTATAACGTCGCGTGACTAATTCAAGTGCAAATTGCAAGTTGTTAATTGGGTTTCTTGGAGGTGTGACTACAATGTCAGTTGATAATGGAAGATAAAAGCAATGGCTGATATGATAGAGCTGAATCATATTCCAATATGATTTCTGCGTTGATATCTAAGAGAGCTATTAAGATATGCTATAGATGAGCTAAGTTTGGCTTAAGTGGTAAATCGCAAATGGCATTTTTAGCATTCTAAATATCTTATTAAGCATTGTTAGATTCTCCAAGAAATTGTACTCCTTAGGTTTTGAGGTTATGTTAGCCTAGAAAACAGGTTAGTTTTTCATTAAGGTTATCCTAGAACATAATGGTGTGAGGTATACAATGAAAAAGAGTTTAAACTGCAGATAATGATTAGATTGAGATTGGAAAAAAGTTAGTCTATGAAAAGTTAAGCTAGGTTAGGTAAGGTAGTGATTGGTTAGGTGAGGTTATGTTAGACTAAGTGATGTTATGTTAGACTAAGTGATGTTATGTTAGACAAAGTGGGGTTATGTTATGTGAGGTTGTGTTAAATTGTAGGTATTACATAAACAATTACGTATATGCAGTACATAATATATGTATGTATTATTCTCGGGATGAGAATAAGGAAACATACTATATGTATTATTTATTTATTTATTTTTAAATGGTCGACAAAACGAGTGTCAACCTTAGCATTTAATACATTAGAATAGCAAAATTAAAAACTTAAAGCCTAATCAATGCAAGGGATGAGAATAAGGTAGTTTTTCTTGGATTCAAGTTGATTAGTTTCCGCCTAATTAGACTAAGTACTACCTAAAAGTACAATAGCTCGGTAGTTGCTAATTCTTCTCGATCTTCACTTTTTATCAACTACTTTGCAAATATATAAAAATAATGCTAATAAGCAAATTAAACAAGCCATATAAGTACTCGCTAAGCATTTGACGCAAATTATTGAGTTAGTTGCATTCAGGAAACTAAAGAGAAAAGTTGAGATGTGTTCAAAGCTGCAAGCCCTATTCTTGCTCAGGTTGTATTAATGGAAAGTATAACAAAAACTTTTCAATTAACTATTCTATATTCTATTCAGCGTTCTGGCCATTTGCCTGCATTTGGCCATGAGCGAAGATGTGTCAGCCCCTCAGGTTATAACCGAAAGTGAGCCCAGACACACGACCACAGACGATTTTCTGTATTGACGGCGATATTCTTTTTATATTTTGTCAACAGTTTGGAAAGAGATATGAATCTTAATACCAGGCGGAAAGAAATAATTACGGTTGAGGAAAAAAAATGTTAAACTTTCAAACAAAAAATTCCGTTAAATATTGCTAATAGAAACGATAAACATTCATTCAGGTCTCTGGTGTATGATTAGACCCGACCAAAACTGGTTTTAATGAGCTGCGAATATGGTAATTGCAATTTGTTCAACTTCAAGTTCAAAGTCAACTTCTAACTGTAATTTACCAGTTGTACGCCTGGTTATACGTAAAGCAGTATATATTTTTAAGGTCTTTGCACTCTGAAAGTACTTTGGCTAAGCTTTAATAACTTTGGGGCGTTTGCTTTGTATTTCGTTAAAACTCAAGGTGGTTTTTTATGTTCAATTAGAATTTATACGCTATAAATTGAATATATGTTAAATATATATAATAAAAAGAAAATGTTTCACGTTTGTTTTTGCAAAAAAGTGACCTTGAAGCAGCTTGAACTTTATATAAATATTTGTATTAATCAGAATTGTCCCAATTGCCTACATTTTGTCTTCATATCGATTAATTATAAAAGCTCTGTACAATACATGGAAGTACAACTTTCATAACAGACCACTTAACAGCGATCTACAGCTGCTATGTGTTTGTTTAACAGCATGCCGCTTAAGCTTTTTCTAACAGTGCTTTGTATTAACTGGCAACGCTATACAAATGAAAAGCTCTCAACTTAACAGTAGAGGCAAAAACAACAATACTGCACGCATCCGCACCGATTCGCCCAGAGCACAAGCAAACCACCTGTTGAGAGCAAGCAGAAGCGGAGAGGCGTGCGTGAGGGAGCGCGTTCGAGTTTGGTGTGTGGTGTTTACGTTTCGAGAGCCGCTTTCATTAGTGTGTTTATATTACGCCGCTCACACAACTTCCTCCCTGCCAACGAAAAGGCAACGCGATCGCGCGACTTCACTCAGTTGTTGACCCACTCTCGTGCAGAGCGGTTCGTCTGGCGTGTCTCTACAAGAATCGAAGTGTTTGCGTGCGTGAACTGAATTCATTTATTTACTTTCGCTACACAAGCCGCGCCTGATACAAGCGTAGGGCCGTGAAATTTGCTGTTGGCTTTTATTTATAATTAATTGGTGTGTGCGAAAAGGTGCTATTATTATTATTGCCCTACAATGGCTGTGCGTTTCATGGATATGTTAAAGCTCACCTTTAAGTAAGTATTTGAACAGTAATCAATAAAACAAAAGCACTTAGGTCCCCTCTCTGTGGCAGTGCATGTGTGTGAGTGTTGCAGCAACATTAACAGATTTCTTGTTCGATCGTTAGTCGTTATGATGGTTGCTCTCGCTTGCTCTCACACATGTACACACATCTGCACATATCTCGGTGTCTGCATGTGTTTATAACGGAGTGTTGCGTTGGTGAAATTGTTGCGCAAGTTTTGCAGCTGGTTTTTGCATAAATTTATCGATGCCTTTTGTTTTCTTCATTTCGATTCAGCTGTGATTTTTTTTTATTTATTTGTCCAAATTCGTTAGTTTTTTATTGCTATTATTTGCACGTTTTTGCCCACATATGAAATTGTTGTTTTTTTTTTTTGTTATTGCTTATATTATGACCAGGCATTACAACAGTATTAAAAGCGGGCGCCTTAAATATCAATTGGTCGAATTTAGTTTATAGCTAAAGTTGAAAATCAATAGCATTTTTAGGGCAAATACACATATAAAAAAAAGTTAGCTAATCATAATATAATATAAAACTAATAGACGGGCGAATTCTTTATTTGATTTGAAAAAGATAAGTATGTAGTACTATATAAAATTATAATATGCCCTTAAGTAAGGGTTGATGGTACTCAAACGATCATATAATATGAAATACAGCTAACGCTAAAATATTTTAACTACAAAATGTAGAATTATTAGGACATTAGAATCGGCATAATATGATATCTGATATATATATCTGATATATATTGTAAATTGATAATATAATAGCCAGTTTAGTATAATTTCAAGAAAATCATTTAAAACGCAAGTATTCATATTTTTAGGGGTACCTACCTGAGGTATGTACCTACTTTTGAGTATTCTTACGTGCACTTGTACCTACTTTAGAGTATTAACATGTCTGGAGTAGAAAAGGTATTCAAAATCAGTGTAAATTTCCAAGCAAACAGTGAACACTTGTCTTAATTAGCTTAGCTTGAATAAAGGTCAAACTGCTTTTACAGACTTTTCCATATTTCAATAAGAAATCCTAGCTTCTCTGCAAGTCTTATTACTCATATGAGTCCCACTGTAGGTACATATGCGACAACAGATTGATAAAGCCCGTCAGGTGCATAGTTCGTTTAGCTTTCAGGTAGAATATTTGCTGGATTTTTTTTGATTGTGCTCCGAATTGCTAAATAGGCGTGACATGGCAAGTTTTAGTCATATCATGTATATTTAATTTTTATTCGCATGCTAATCTATTGCTTAGATATTGTAGTTACAACATTTTAGTTTCCATCCATCGAAATATATGCACCCTTTGCTGATTTTGAAGATTTCTTTCGCTTAACCTTCGCTTTTGCAAATGTTTCGGAGAACTTCGTTAGTTTGCTGATAAGAATTACATAGAAATCAATACACATGCAGCTTATCAGTTGTCTGATAAACAGCTGTAGATATGGACATGTGTGTGTAGATTTGTATTACGAGTCATCTACAACATGCGAAATTTGTCGGGCGATTTCGTGGAATAGACTAAAACTAATTATATATCATGCGGTAAGTCCATT